ATTCTAACCCTCACTTGATACGGGATCACATTCCTGGAAGGGATCTAAGTGTATCCAGACTGACCCTCCTAAGCACATAATTTTTTTTTTGAATAGCTGTGGCTTTTCCTTTTCACTATAGCAATGATGGAAGAAGTTACAGTTGAGGGGCTTTTCCTTTCTATGTGAAGCCTCAAGGTAGCAGGCTCTCCTCTCCTCTCCACACCTAGACCTTGTATTTTCAGGGCATACCTGGGCTAGAAACTTGTATAGGCTATGTACAGTGCAACTGCCATGACTTCCCCCAAATAAAGGATGGGGAACCTGTGGGCTTCTTGGTCAGGAGTAGCCAACACAGTGGTCTTTAGGTGTTATTGGACTCCATCTCCCATCAGACCCCAGCCAGCAGGGCCCATGGTCAATGTCATAGACTGGCTGGATGCAGAGGAGTGTTGGGAGGCACCAGCTGAGGAACCCCCAGGGGAAGAAGACTCAGAGCCAGGGGATTGGTGGTGGGACAATGATGAGTGGTCAGAGGCAGAAGACTGGGAGGAAGAGGCATCAGAAACTGGAGAGGTTACAGGGTGTAGTGAGCAGTGAGTGACCGTGACAAAGAGCAGTCCCAGAATCAGAGGCAGAAGTGGAGGCTCTTCTTCACTAGTCAGGCTGGTGAAGAAGCAGGGGTGTCTCCCCTTCCTGCTGCGACCAGTTCCCCGCTCCCCTGGTCTCCCAAAACCAGAAGAGGTATGAAGAGGTAGGCGCAGAGACAGGCATGGCAATGGCGTCTCAGATTGCTTGGGAAGGATCTGGGGGAAGAGAGCTATGGGAAGGTGTGAATTTCAGTCCCCACAACTGCCTCATAGGAGCAAGATCTACCAGGACGAGTTGCTGTGTCCACTGGGCCCAGCCTCCTGAGTCAACCTGGTTTCCTTGAATAAAGAGTTAATTTCACTGGTGCCGTGTGATTGACTGCTGACCTCCTCACACCCGCTGCTGACAGTCAAGGATGATGGGAGCTGTAGTCTAGCATCATCTGGAGAGCCACAGGCTCCTCAGTCCTCCTTTAAGTTACAGACTACATAATTTGGATTCATCACGAATCCTCCCAATAACAGGTTTGTGAAATTTGTTTTCCTAAAAGGCTTAGAAACCCAACCAGCCAGCCAGCCAGCCAAATGCACCTGGAAACAAATCGCAGTTGGAAATGAGCTACTGGCTGATGCTCAGTTTCCTCTGCAATTTTATTTCTATTGCTCTGCAGCAAAAAAAACCCCCAAAACAACCCAAGCCATAATAATAGCGGGTGCTCATGGGGGAAAGAAACAGCTGGCAAAAATCATAAGGAGACGAGTAAATGCAAAGGAGGTTAAGTGAGTTGCTATGATTGACTGGTTATAAATATATGCCTAAAAAGCTCTTGTGACTCTGAGTAAGTGAAACTTTGCCTTTGGGATGTGAAAAAGGGCAGTGGCATCTGCTGGAGCTTGAAAGGAGAGGCCAATCAGTCATGGCCGTGCATATAGGGCTGGAAGTTGCTCAAAGGTCGTTCAGTTCCAGGCTCTCACATTCTAAGGATACAGAAAAGATTATCTTAGATGTTAAGTGTGGTGTGAATTTCTATAGGCAGCCTGAAAATGGGTGGGATGGGTGGCTCTTGAACCCAGACCTCCAGCAGCCAGTCTTTGGCACCTTGTCTTCTAGGCCCTCATCAAATCAGACAGAGGAGGCTCTGAGGATGAAGCATGCCACCGACTGCATAGCCTAAACACTGTCACAAGAGCACAAGAAGAGCCCTACGGGATCAGGCCAAACCCCCAACTTGTCCAGTATCCTGTTCTCATGTGGAAAACAGATCCTATATGAGAAACCACAAGCAGGACCTGAATGCAACAGGATTTCCTCCACTTGTCATTTCCCAGCAACTGGTATTCAGAGGCTGATTGCCTCCAGCAGTGGGACGTAGCCATATCATGGCTAGTGCTCTTGACAGCATTGTCCTCTAGGAAATGGTTTATTCTTTCAAAGTTGTCCCAAGCTGGTGACCATTCACTACACCTTGTGGGAGCGAATTCCATAGATGAACTAGGTGCTTGTGTGAAGAAGTACTTCCTGTTGTCTGTCCTCATTCTTTCAACCTCCGGTTTCATTGGATGTTCCCAGATTCTAGAGTTATGAGAAAGGGAAAAGAAACCTCTCTCTGTCCACACCAACTGTCCCCTACACACACTGTGTGGTCAATAGGAACATGCCAGCTTATAAAACTTTCTCATACAAGGGCACAAACAGGACAAAATGTTAAGTGTATGAATGAGGAGTCTGAGCAACATTGGGACTGCAGGAGGTGGGCAGGGAGAGTTTAACTCTCTCCTTGCCACCTCAGTCATGGTACCAATGGAGGCTTCCCTCATGCTGCAAATAGCAGCTTGGGGGGGGGGGGGATTTCATCAGAACCCCAGCCAGGGTTGATGGGCCCTGAGCGATATGTCCACCACCCCTGACCTACCCACCAATGATATGAAAATGGTGGCAGCCTGTCCCTAGCTTTGCTTGAAATGCGCCCTCAAGAAACAACAGGATAGATATTAATTGTGCTTAATGTTGTGTGTACACTGCTGCTCAAGCCAGGGGTGAGAGTGCATTGGATGCAGAGGAGGAGGACGAGGAGAAAGAGAACAGACGGATGGGTCGTTTTGCCAAAATGACTCTCAAACTACCCAGTAAAAGTATCCCCAGTAAACTACCAAGTAAAACTATTTTGTGATGATTGTTAGAGAAATTGCAGAGAAGTGGCCCACTAAGAAGATACCTGCCCGGGCCATTAAGATGTTCTCCAGCAGTCACCTGTTGATTCCGTTCACCCTGTCCCTTTCACTCTCCAATCAATATTTGGATTGGATTTGAAGGAGGGGTTGAAGTCATGACTTGGAGCAATGTCACAGTCAGAGTGGGCAGTATTAGTCTAGAATGGACCAATGGGCTGACTCTGTACAAGGCAACTTCACATGCTCCCAACACCAATCCACAGCAATATATGCAAACTAGCCACCAGAGGGAGACAACTGCACTCTGCCGAACTGAATTACACAACTTCAGGCAAGTTCTTCTCAAAGGTCCATTTATTGCCCTGGGCGTCAGTCAAACCTTCATCAAAACAGAACCCAGGGTGGCTTAAGTATCAAGGCAGGGATACGTGATCTTGTTAAACTGAGTAGACTGAACTGCAGGCTTGTGGGAGAGAACAACAGGATGGTGGAAGCACAACTGTCCCTCCTTTGAGGAAAACACGGTTTTCATACTAATTTGCCAGAGGAATTCAATGTGGAGAGAAGACACTGCTCTCTTTTTTCCACCCTTTTGTTCTCAGGGATTGTATCTGAGCTCATGTAAGAGCCATGCTGGCAGGGGCTGATGGGAATTGTAGTCTAAAACATCTGGAGGGGGGCAGATTGGCAAAGGTTGCTCTAAACCAAGGTTCCCAGCCCACAAACATCTGTCTTTTCACCCAAACATTTTCTGTTTTACAAAAGGCATTAACAGTGCAGTATTACACAAGTTTACTCAGAAGTGTGTTCAGTGGGGCTGACTCCCATGTAAGCAGGGCCGGCCTGAGACCTTTTGGTGCCTGAGGAAAGGTATGTCACTGATACCTCCTCCCTCAGATCTGGGCCTGTGTCCTGGCAGGGAGGGAGGAGACCAGCGGCAACACAGCTCCCCGCCTTCCACTGCAATGCCTTGCATCTTCCAATGCCTCTTGAACATTATCTCACAGGGTAGACCTGTGAGCTAAAAAGGTTATAGTGCCACCCAGTGGTACTTTGGTTTATAATGGCTAAATTTCAATATACCTAATCTACCATAAATCAGAGATGTTAAAGATGTTGGTTTGTTTGAGCCTTAAAAAGGTAAACAAATTCTCCCCCCTTCCCCCTTTTCGGAGGGCAAAGTAATGAAACACAAGGTATTTTCATTTAAAAAATAAAGACACTAAGGTACTTTCATCATCAGATATGATGCAATTTCCTGTATTTGAAACAAGCCAATCTGTTTTAGAGAGGATTCGCTGAATGGAAATTTTGATAAGCTCCATTCCATGTATCCCAAGATCAGACGTGGCATCGCTATGGCAACAGAAAGGCCTGGAGGCAAGGAGAACGCTAGGAGTCTACTCCTTCAAAGACATACACAAATAAATAGAGATCAATAAAAAGCGTGAAGAAATCAGGGGAAGTTGATTTTATTTAAAAATTCAATATATATATCACAACAACTAACTTTATACATTGAGTGGAATTTACGTCCACTCTACCTGTGTAACGGAGGAGAGGGGAGAAGAGAGAAGGCACGAAAGTGAGCTGGCCCAAGCAGAGTTATAATCCCCGCCCCTCCTCCTTGTTCCATACCTTGGTCAATCCTGGCATAACGTAACATGCTTGCTGGAGTCGGTCCATACAGGGAGCCGCCGGCAAACAGAAATGGTCGCTCCTCACCAACTTCAAATGCTATTTACACGCTTCTCTTAACTTCATCAGTTTTTGTGTGCCATTCCCATCCAAAGGACCTGCTTGCTTTTCCTCCAACCCATCTGACCTATCTCCTCAGAAGAATCCTCCACATGTTGAGCCTGTCACGGGGGCTGCAGAGTGCGTACTCTCAATCCCAAAGATGGCTTCCCTCGCTGTAATTTGCTGGCTGCCCCTTTTTCTTTCCGAGGCCTGGGGAGATTTTCAAGGCAGCTGCCTCTTGAAAAGGTTAGCCGGCTGCACTGGCTCTTTTTAACACTGATTAGGTGCTTGGTCACTGAGAGTCCTGTTTGTTCTTCATTTGACAACGTGTCCCTTTAAGCTGAGCTACCCACGGCAGATGCAGATAATGCAGAGTTCTAAAAGTCCAGCTGCTAATATGAAATGGTTCCCTTACAGTTTTATTTTTCCTTTAAAAAAACAAAAGGCACAAAGGCCGGGTATTGTTAGTAAATACAGGCATGGAACTAAATGGCCATTGAGATGGGTCTCGTTGCGGCGCTATACTAGGCCAGCAGCTTTGTCTTGCACGTTGTATTCCTTGTTCTTCGTCACCCTCCAGCCGATTACGGTTAAGAGAAGGATGCCAATGATTTTGTAACCCACTTGGAGGCCTAGGTATCTGTGCCAAAGAGAAAAGAGAAGCAGGAGGCGGACACAGTGAAACTTGAATGGAACAGACCTTGAGATGAAAGCAACCTTCTGTTTTAGAAAAGCAACCAGAAACAGACCGAGTCCTCAGGGACGCAAGTGGAATGGTAATAGGGACTAAGTAGACTAAGTAGACTTAGTAGAATAAGTACCCAGACTGCTAAGTTGCATTCTAGAAAACTTCAGATAAATTCACACATGCATGCAGTTGCATGAAAAGGCAGTTTCTGGCACTGGGTGTGTTCTCCTTTATGGAGGGCAGTAGCGAGGTGGGGAGTTGCACACCTTTGCCCTTTAAGCACCAACAGCAGAGAACAGCTGACTGGGGCTGTCCAATGAAGCACATTCAATCTTTGCTTTCTCTATGCTAAAGTCAAGTTCCCCATTTTGTGTGTGTGTGCGCCTTTTTAAAAATTACTTTTGCTTGGGCAGGTTTGCAGATGTCAGAGCCCTGCAGGAGCATGGCACCCATGATGAAAGCAGGAAGTCTGGGGATTGTGGAGAGAAATCCCTTCTCCTCCAGTTTAAATCTTGGAGCCAGACTTCCTAGCCTCAAAATAAAATAAAATAAAATAAAAGGGGGGGGGGAGGTCACAACAGGAAGAGCTTCATTATTGCCTGGCACCGCTTCAAATTATTATTTTCAGCAGAGGCAGCTCTCCCATGCCACTGGGTGTCAGTGGCGCGTATGTGCAAATCCTACTTTGTTGTTGGCAAACACCCATCTATCCAAGAGAAAGGCCTTTGCAACATTCCTCTGGGTGAAGGGGTCCTCTCTTAGGCACTGATATGGAAATTTCTCTTCTAAGGAAAGGGAATGACTGCAGGGTTCCTAGGGCGTAGGCTCAGGGGGAATTCCTGGTGCTCTAGTCTGGTCCGTAGACCTGAGTCATGTAAGTCTTTCCAAAAGGATTTTATTTTTTTAAAGAAAAAAACCAAGAACCGCGTAGAGGATGCCAAGATGTGTTCACGTATTGATGGCCTCAGGAGCTCGGATAATTGGGTCTCCCATGAAAACAATACATTCCGTAATTCTCAGGTTCAGCAGGGAGTTTTTCTTTCTAAATCACAGCCTCAAGGCTCAGCATGATGCAGCTGCACACGTAGGTTAAGAGAGCAAGAATCGGAGTGCAGGGTGGAGAGGATTCAGGCAGCAACCAAGCAAGCCTGACAAACAGCTGTCAGCAGGGATAACTGCAGCCATGGGCTCCAACATAAACAAAGCCACATTACAAGCAGGGAGCTGCCTTGCTGACCCTTCAGCCCTATTAATTCCTAAGGGTTAAAATAGACAATGCTTCAGCTTGAGATCTATGCCCTAAGTGCAGGTGGCTTTCCGAACACGAACTGCCAAGCATGGCAGGGGGTGGTGGAGGGATTTGGAAGAGGAGTCTAGCTTTGAGGGTGGAGGACTTGAACACCCTCGTGCCAGCAATTTGCATTAGGAAAAAACTCCTAGCCAAAGCATATCTGTCTGCACTGGCAATTTGTGTGGGGTTGGGGGTTGGGGACTGAACTTAATGGGCATAGATGCGGAGCTAACGTAACATATAACTTGGCCCCAGTTTTGCATCTGCTCTGCACTGCCGGGAGATGATTTTCCGCACATCAGGTTTTTTGCATCTCCTGGGAGATAAACTATACAGGTGGGTTACCTGCTGCGGAGGAAGTTATTGTCGTAGTACGTGCAAGATCCGCTCTTGTTGCACTGTTTCCTCCACCAGATGCACGAGGAGTCGATGAGGAAGCCAAAGAGGGCAGGAGCTGGCAGCCAGGCTTCAAAAGAAAGAAAAAGGGTGAGGACCAAAAGGTGCATCTCTCACAGTTAGCTCTGGCTATTATTATTATTATTTCTATACCACCCTTCATCTGAGGACCACAGGGTGGTTTGCAACATAAAAACACAAAAATACATAACACCATAACACACACACACACACACACACACAGAGTTCATTATTTTTAAAAATATTTTTATCAATTCTTAATAATAACAAACATCATATAAACTTAAACATTGAAAAGAAAAGTTTAAATACAACTGTAACCTTTTTTATACTTTTTATATAATCAATACATTGAAATGTGGGATTTCCAACTCCCTTTTCTTCCCTGCCCTCTCCATGGTTCCATTATTTTTATTATTAATTCATGCATGTACAAATTAAATTTTCCATCTATTTGTATCTAATTCTATCTTCCGTTAAAATATTGCAAATGTTATTTAGAATCCTGCTGATGTATCAGCCTGTATACAATGCTTTGATGTATATGCAATAAATATTTCCCATTCATTCCCACACACACAGTTTAAAAGGTCATAGATTGCCCCATTGAGCACAGCAGGATTTACTTCTGACTGTTCATATTTATTAGTATTGCAGGTCCTGGTAGACACTCACCTAGCAATCTCATCAACAGGAACTGGACTCCAATGGCAAATGACTTTTCATCAGGATTCACCACCCTGAGTAGGATAAAAACACAGTATATGAGATACTTTTGGCTCAAAAGCTAGTTGGTATTGCTCTGGGAGAAAGTTAAGAAGCCTGATGATGTTTTGTGGGTTCATGACACAATGCAGCAAGGTTCAAAGCGGCCCGATCTTTCATGCAGTAAAGCTGAAAATGTCCTGTCCACTGGCCATAAATCAGATCCTGGTCATGTGGTGGCAGGTAAAACATTCTGAGGCCAGCTGAAGGCTAACCTTCCTTATTAAAACATATTCAAACAGCAATGTGGAACTGCAGATTTTCTTCCACTTTAGTGATGTTACGAGCAATTGACTAATATTTTGTGCTTCTGGGACATTTATTCCTTAATTATTATTATTTTTTATACACCGCCCTATAACCGGATGTCTCAGGGCGGTTCACAAACAAGACCACAACATATAAAATCCTCTTTTTTTGTACCTGTGAGTCACCATTTATGATGAGAAAGTTGGGGAATATATGAGAACAAATAAATATAAAAGCCTGTGGATCCCCTAAATTACAGGTAAGTCTTGCAGAGGTTATCTTCTTGTGTAGTGAAATGTGCTCTGGCCCTAAGTTAGAAATGGATGGCTCTGTTAATTTCACTTTCTATTTTTTCCAGTCTTGAATTTAATTCATCCAGTTTCCATGTGTGTATGATTTTTTTTTATTCACATGAAAATTCACCCACATTTCTCCTAATATTTGCATTTACACACAATTTTGCCTAGCACAAGCATTTATTTATTTTTTTTGCAGCAAAAGAATGGACATTTGTGCACTATTTTCACAGTTACCTGCATTTTCATATGCATTCTTTAGATGGCAAACTGCACTGCAAAACTCAAAGGTGTGGATTCTGAAGGAGAGCTATCTTTTGGTTTGCATATTGATGCATGCATGATATGTGAATTGGAAGAGTTAATGTGAATTTCTTTCCCCCTACTCTGCCCTACTGTGCCTACTTACCTTAGCACCATCATGTAGAGAGGGTTGTGACACAGGCAGGCAACCAAGGCAGCAAAGGAGATGAGGAAAATAACAGGCAGCAGCAAAGAAGCACAACGGATTGGGCAGGAACCAGTCTTTGCTGAGGACTGGCCATTGCTGGTTTTGATACAGGAGCAGTTTGTGTAGATCTGATTGGAATAGCAGAGGAGAAAGTCAACTTCATTTCTGGGAATCCATTATGTTCAGGGAGGGACCACCAGGTCCGGTGCTGGAGCAGAGGATCTTTGCAAGCAGAAGGACACAGGTTTCAATTCCTGACGTCTCCAATTAAAAGGCTTGGGTAGCTGGCAATGTGAAAACCATCTGCCTGGAAAGCCGCTGTCAATCAGAGCAGCAATTTGGTCGTCAGGGGAGTGTGGGAATACGCTTGGGGAAGGAAGGCAGTACTGCACTAATGTGACTGAGAATTCATACAGTGCTTTTAAAAATGAAATGTGTGATTTGAAAACTTGTGATCTAATCCTCTGAGAGCTTATGGCAGTTCTCAATACTTTGAATATGGGCACACAGGTAAATGGAGAGATGAAAAAAAGTACTCTTGCTAATACTTGATCCAAATTGGTTCAGCCTAGGTCACAAGAACAGCAACAACTACAAACATCACGTAGAAAATGTTGTGACACAGGCAGGTAAGCAATGCAGCAAATGAGACAAGGAACATAAGAGGCTTCCAACAGATGCTCATATTTTGGCTGTATATGTGACATGTCAATGATATACTGGTGATATTATTAAGAGGGCCCTTTAGGGTGATCTTAAGTACTGGGGTTACCACCACATCAGGCTTCCTCTTGAAGATGTAGGGCATGAGCCATTATAGGTTAAAACCTGGATTGTGTTTGGAAGACCATGTAGTACCAGAGCATCTTACTAGTGGAGCAATCAAATGAACCAGTGGTCCATTTACCCACTCTGTTATCAACTTTGAATGGCAGAAGCGCTTCAAATTCTCAGACACAGCTTTTCCCAAGATGCTGCTTTATTGGGGATGTCTGGAATTGAACCTGCGGAGCATGTGTTCTCCAACAGAGCAATGGATTCCCCGCTAAGTCACTATTTTAAACAGTTAGGCCTACTGGAGTCGATACTGAGTATAACTCAATGGCTCAGGAGCCCAAAGCTCTAGCAACACCTCTGTATGTTGAGCACTACAGTGGTACCTTGGTTTGCAACCGCTTTGGATTACAACTGTTTTGGATTACAACCACGTCAAACCCGGAAGTGTGTCCCCCTTTTTTTGGATTACAACCCATTTTTTGGGATTACAACCAATTTGGGGGTGGAGGCCGCATTGGTGAAAGTGTGCTTTGGGTTACAACCTGTTTTGGTTTACAACTGGACCTCTGGAATGGATTATGGTTGTAAACCAAGGTACCACTGTATTTAGATTTGAGGCCATTAAGATGAGCGGACATTCAGTATTCCAGATCCTCTTACCAGCCCCTGGAGTTTTCCATCAGTACTACTACGTACCTTAACACTGGATGTGGAAGAATTACTGAATAAACCAGTACAACCAGCGTGGCAGGGAGAAAGGTACTCCACGCCATCATCTCCACAGACTGGGTGGAAGAGATAGTCTGAGCAGGAGCACATCCTGTTGCATTGAGCCTGTCCTGGGGAACTTGATGTCCTGCCAGAAAAAGAGAGGCAAAATAAAATGAAATTAAAGAAGATGGGTGAAAGATACTTTTTTAAAAAAATGCATTGGGTGATTAACCTTTGTTTTCCAGTCTGTTATTGTTGAGTTCTTGCCACTTGGAAGTCTGGCCTCCTGCCTAGGACTTACCCACCCAAGATACGTCTAAGGTTTTTCAGTGAACTCGGTCGTAATTATTACTCACACGCACATGCAGACAAAACACTCACGTACCTGGGTGGGAAAACATTTGATGCCTGGAGGAATCAACCTGAGCTGAGTCTTACCAGTAAAAAAGGGGGGGGGGACCCACCATTGAACACCCAAAGCGGAACAAAGATGAAAAAAGCCAGTCAAAAGAAAACGAGAATGAAAACTGGAAACATTCTAGGTGCAAAGTACGATCCAAGGGCAGTATCACATTGGATGTGTACAATATTGAGAGCTGCCATTTAGACAAACCTTGTCCACTTTGACCCCCATCAGCTCTCTGAGACCTCAATTAGAGAAATTCCATAGCCTTGGAAGCCCTGAGAGTCTTTTATATGGAAGGTGACCTGGAGTCAGTCTCTTTTAATGTGCCAATAACATTTCCTACCACTCAGCTTCCCCGCTCTCTGAAATACCATGGGGAATAGAAAGAATAGAAAGGAGGAAGAAATGATTCAGTGGCAATTGTTGGGGTTTATCAAAGGAAAGTGTGAAGGGGGAAATCTGCGCACCCATGATTTTAGAGCTGATGACTCAAAGTCAGGGATGGTGAATCTGTGTCCCTCCAGATGTTGCTGGACTCCAACTCCCATTATCCCTAATCACTGGTCATGCTAGTCGGGGCTGATGGGAGTTGTGGTCCAGCCATCTTTGGAGGGCCGCAGGTCCCCCACCCCTGCACTAAATTCTAATTCCCCACCCCCACCCCACGGTGCTTAATGGAAAGCAGAACGTGTTACCTGTCTGGATAAATTTCTGCTATCTTCTCTGTAGAGCAACCCATGAAGAACAGAGGGAGGCAGCAAAGTGTGGAGACGAGGAGCACACTGATGGCAAACCGTGGGATAGCTTTGAGGGAGAAAGCAAAACGCTTCATGACAAGACCTCCAAACAGCATTCCTAGGGCAGCTGCAGGAAGGTTCACAGATCCTGCAAAAAAAAAAGGAGGGGGGGGGTGGAGAGGAAGCAATGGGAGACAGTGGTTCATAACTGAAAGCAACTTTATTTTTTTAGCAAAAGCATGAAGTCAATCTTACAGCTGGCATAGAACTGCACTCTATTTTGCATGGCGAGGCCAACACAGAGTACTCCTACTGAGTCCTGGTCACTACCTCAGGGGCTGCTCCACATGCAATGAGATTCCTACAAGGGAAGCATCCTTTTTGTGAGAGTCTGCATGAATCTGGCATGTAACGCCTAGTTGCAATGACTTCATGTTTGTAATTCAGAAAAAGTGTACTTGTTCTGGGTAACTCATCATCATCATCAAACCTTTTATTGGCATCACATACAAACATCCATAGTAAATCAGTACAGAATTACCACCTCCCCAATGTCGCAGATGAAAAGAGGCAAAACAGTCTAACATTACATCTCTAGGTCTCCAGGGAGATCAGACATCTGCAATGTGTTTCTGCGACAAAAAACCAAATAAAGATATTTAGCCATTAACTTGGTGAGCTCCTGATCATTCCTCAGTAATAGAAAATGTATGACCTCCAACTCTGGTTTCCATTTGGGGATGCAGAGTTGATCTAGAAACTGCTGGTGGAGATCAGCATATAGTTAACATTTAAGAACCATAGAAGTAAGAGTTTTCAGCAGGTGGTCTTCACATGGGCAAATTCTTTCTCCTTCCACCATTCCCGAGAACCTTCCCCAAAGGAGGTTTGATGGATTTGAATTAAACCTGGCCAGTGAAAATGCCCTTCTTTCTTGAGGGATAAGCAGCAATCGAAGATAATTGTGATTAGTTTCATATGCCCAAGAAAGTTGAAAGTAAAGAGGGGAACATGTTTTCTCTGCTGCTGCTGTTAGTTCCTGGCGTTCAATGTCCCACAACCTAGTTTTTATTATAGCCTTGGCAGATGGTGGGGGCATCGATCGCAAAAGTTCTGGGTAAATAAGGTCAGCCTCCACTCTAAGGAGATGGAGGACACCTCCTGCTTCCAGCACAGCTTTGTCCCATGTTACAGGCAGGATTCAAGATAGAAGGAGTGTTTCCTTCTAGTTTCAGAATGCTTTTGTTGCGTTTTTGAATTATGTAACTGTTTGCCCATGCTGCAGGGCCGTCAGCTTGTTTAGAAGGGTGCTAGTTTATCCTGCCTATCTCAAAGGGTCTATCCAAGCAGAGTTTGGCTTCATCACTTAACTGAGGAAGCTGTAAGTGTGTAGTATACAGATACATACACACACACACACACACACACACACACACAGACAGAGAGAGAGAGAGAGAGAGAGAGAAAAGAAAAGAAAAGGGAAGCACAGTGAGCTGATTCACAACCAGGATAGATGGAAATGCTTGACCGTTGCCCACACAAACACTGTCCAACTGCAGAAGGCCCCACAGCAACTTCCTTAATTAAATTATTTTTGACTCCATGACTCCAACACCCACAAACATTTAGAGCTCTGCCAAACCAAAGTCTGCCCTGACTCCTGAGTAATGTTCATTGCCTGGTGTGGTTAAAGGGCACCCATTCTTTCCATGAGTGGCCCAAGGACTAGAGAGGTAGCCAATGGAGGACTATCTGTCAACGTTTTTGACAGATAGTTAAAGGAAGAGAAACATAGTGATTCCACTGTTTCCTTTCGCATTTTAAGGAACAAATATTGACAAAATATCTCAAAAAGGATACTTTGTTGCAAGAACAAGTAGAAGTTCTCCCCTAGAGGGAGACTGTGAAACTGTAACTAATTCCAGGGAGCTTGCAGCTGTCACAGATTACAATCGTGGGAATGGACTTGTGACCTTGTAGGACAATGTATTCAGAGGCTCTGTTGTGTGCTCTCTGGAAAACAAGTGCCCTACTGGAACAGTTAAATGAGAAGATGGATTTGATGACTAATGCGGCCAGAATTTTTGAACAGGCAGTGGGAAACTATGTGGAGCCCACCCAGGAATTAGAACAGGAGTGCGTCCTGACAGAGCAGATGAGAGAAGAGGATGTTGCTGAATCTTGGGCGCCAGAGATGGAGGGAGCTGCAGCCTTGCAGGAGCATGAGCTTTTGGACTTGACAAATGAACTTGGAAAAAGCCAGATTTGGAAAGATAAAGTTTGGATTGGTTTGGAAATGGGGGGTTGGATAGACCCCCCTACGCAGGGATGTTTGGACTTTCCGAGTCTGGCAATGGGCCGTGAGATGTTTGGAGCTGTGGGGGCTCTCAATTTTGGAGGGATTCTGAAACATGTTTTTAAATACCACATGGAGTTGAGTCTGGACTATGGAAAAGGGGCTGATTTGCTGAAAAGGGTCAAAAACATCACCAAGCTGGAGTTCCCACGAGTGAAAGGAGAATATGAAGAAGAGCTGCGGAAGGGACATGGAAGAGATTTAAGGGCCTCGGATATAAGGTTACCAGGTTAATGCGCTAGATCGATGGGATAAAAAGGACTGACAAAACCTGGGACCAGGAGGAAGGGACGCTGGAGGAAGACTCGATTATTTTTATCTCTTTTTTTTATTACCAGGATTGTTTTATAAAATTGATGAATGTTAGAAAAATGCTGGAATGAAATTACTTGGCTCTAGTAAAAATGTTTAAAGAATTAGGTAAGAATATTATGGTTGTGAGAAGTCGGTAAAAATAAGATTTAAGTTTTAAGTTTTTAAGGTTTTCTATAAGATAAGATGAAAATAGATTAAGGTAATGTAATGACAGAATATTATGAAATATGGAAAGGATTTGCTGCGATAATTATTAACTAGGATACAAAAAGGGAGGAGGAGGTGGTCAAAGAAAGAAGGTAATGAAAGTTGAGGATTTGAGAATGATGGAGTTATTATTGTCTGTCTGCGGCGTATTTTTGTTTTTTGAATTTGTATTGTTTGATGTGGTTTGTTTTTTCTTTGTTCCTTTTTTCCCCTTTTCTGCTTTGTTTTTTCTCTGTAATTTAAATTTTTTTCCAATAAATATCATTTTTTTAAAAATAAATAAACAAATAGAGAGGTAGCCAATGATTGCCTAGTTGCCTTTGACTGCCCTACCCTGTCCTCCTCCAATCAGATTGGACTGCCGGATAGTATGATACCAAGAAGGACTGGCTCCAAAGCCTTGAGGAACGTAACCTGGCTATAACTTTATTCTGAGAAGGTTTGGGCTGTAATAAGTAAACATCATGATTAGTCGAGAGGCATTGCCATTCCCTCACCAATGAGGAAGTTTGCATAGGAAGAGGTGGTGCCAAACTGTTTCTCTAGGAACTTGTTGAGGAAGGTGGAGAGGCCAGCAATGACGGAGGAGAAGCTGCACTGGGCCAAAACCAGGAACATGAAGAGCGGATTGAGGAGCAGCCTCAGGAAGCCCTGGGGAAACTCTGAAGGCAAAAACAGGGGAACAAGTCAGTCATACAGAGGGCCTCACCAGTTGCATGAGCAACAGAGAGCATGCTTTAAAACAACAACACTCTTACGATCTCATTTATTTAACACCTTTTTATCATGCTCTTCATTCCATTTAAAATGGTCGTGCTGGTTCAAAATTGGTTAGATGCAGCACAAAACACAACAATAAACCTATAAGGGGAAAATAAAGAGATTCTTAAAACATACACATTTTAAAAATACATGGGTGTACAAAAGAGTTTCTGCCTACCACCAAAAGCACTGTGGTGTCGGGTGCCAGGTGAGTCTCTATAGCAGGGATAGAGAACCTGTGGCCTTCCAAATGTTGTTGGACCACGCTAGCTGGGGCTGATGGGAGTTGTGGTCCACCAGCCACAGGCTCCCCATCCCTGCTTTGTAGGGAACAGCATTCAATAGACAGGATGTCAGTACCTAGGAGGCCCTTTCCTTTGTTGTCACATATCGTACCCTATCATAAATGTTAGTTACACCAAAAAGTCCCGTGGAATTCTATTCCCATTGGGCCAGACTATTAAGGCATGTCAAACCTGGCTTCTGTTTCTAAAGTCAGTGATGCCTTGGCTGGACTGATTTAGGTTCTTAACTGGCCTTCTGCTAAATGCTTAAGGGAAAGGTTACAATATCAAAAACAGACTGCGGTGGGTTTACATTAACAATATCTTTTGTAAAAAGAGAGTGCTATCAATGGCTACAAATCATTATGTCTATGGTCTGTGTCCCCGTCCAGAGGCTACATGCCTCTGAAATTTCAGTTGTTGGAGAATAACCTTATGTCCTGTTTAGGGGCTTCTCAGAAGCAGCTGGCAGGCCACTGCCAAACGGGAGGCTGGACTAGATAGGGCCTGGGCTTGCTCCAGAAAGGTTCTTTGATTCTTCCTTCTTGTAATATGCAGCATGGTCATATGTAGCTAAACTGATGAGCTTTGCACAAAAGCAGCAGAGGCTGCAGCCAAGAAGCCTTTCAGGAGAACATCAAAATAACAAAATCATACACAGCTGCTAGCTAAGATAAGGATACAGGTGTGGGTGCTAAGGGATCTTGTATTTCTAAACAGTTCCTTTTTTGCAGTGTAGCCTGAAAGCTGAAAGTTGGTAAGAAAAGCCTTTACTTTTGGTGAATTCTACCAGTGATCCTTCCTCTGCCTTGGCCTTCTCAATCTTCTTCAGGACGTCCACCTCATATTCCGCCTGCTGGGACAGAAGCAAAGAGAATGGTTTTTGTGTGTGAACAGGAGGGTGATGGTTCGTTTTGTCCCCAGGAAACAAGGTCCTGAGCATGCAGAGCAAGCATGAAGCAGGGTGCGGATCCTGGGAGCAGGCCCAGCAAAAGAGAAATAATTGTGAGGTGTGTGCGTGTTCTTCTCTGAGCATAACAGCGACAGCAAAAAAGACTGAGGCAAGAAACAAACAAAAAAGGCAGGCTCATCTGGAAAAAAACTGACCTTGCCCACAATACAAACGACCTTCCACCTGCTTCCATATAGCTTTCTTTGATTTGGCTATTGCCAAGGCTGGAACCTTTACCCCCATTTTGAACACTGACTTGATGAATACGAAGGGAAGCTATGGCAGAACTTTTGCCTCTTGATTTACAAAGTGATTGGAAAACTTTAGGGGCGGCTTTTGAGCTACTTTTTGTACCATCACCCTCTGCTTGGGGTGCCTGCTATGTCCACCTACAGAGAGGGATACTGAAAAAGCTCATCTGGTAGAGAGCATGAGACTCTTAATCTCAGAGTCAGGGGTTCAAGCCCCACATTGGGCAAAAGATTCCTGCATTGCAGGGGGTTGGACTAGATGGCCCTCGTGGTCCCTTGAACTCTACAGTTCTATGATTAACTGCTCTCCTGGTGCCATGAAGGGTAATAACAGAAAAGGGAAAACACACACACACACACACACACACACACACACACACACTATAAAAGCCTTCATATGAGATTAAGATGAGGATGCATATTTCTCCCCTCTTACTGTATTTCAAAGTAAGGAAAGGACTCAGAGCTATACTGAATATGCAAGACAAAGACTAACACTGGGATGCTTGATAGTATTTCCAACATCTTTGTTAATGGCTTTAAACACACACACACACACACACACACACACACACGCACGGAGTATTTACATGCTGCCTTCCTTGCCATGGAATGGCACCCCTAAACAGAGTTTTTTCATTTCAATAGGTTGCTCATTCTTCAGACACAAGGTAGGCTAGAATAAGGTAATAAACCTCTCTGCCCAAATGCTCCAGCCTTGATTGTTTTGAGGTCCACTCTCAGCATATCCCCTGTGTATATACTGTTGGTGAGACAGGCATTTAAGGTGTTATGCTTCTATCAACAGCAAGAGGCTCTGCCCAGTGGAATAATGTGATTGCAGAGTACAGATCCTACACTGGAAGTCATGCAGGCCAAATCCATGCAGGCAGGCTTTTCTTCATAGTGACTATTGTAGCACCTACGGAGCCCAAATTAATAAATCAGAAAACTGATGTACAGAAATAGGGGACGAGACAAGAGTTCTTGCTTAAGCAAGCTGCTACCTAAGAAGCAGGCAAATAGGAAAATGGTTTAAAATAGAAAAATACAGGCCAAATCCAGGACGGCCCTGCCTTCTTCATCTTCCCAGTGGGCCAAATAGACTTCCCCTCTGGAACAACAGAGGTTCCTCATAGGAATTTTTCCCTTGCAAGGGTTCACCTATCACTTTGGAAAAGCCCTGCTGCCTCTTGGCTCTCAACAGCTGTAGTTGGAAAGGGTTGCCCTTCTCTTCACCACCAGCAGAGACACTTACCCTCCCTTTGAGCATATACCGGGGGAAGAAGAAATAGGGAATGGACGTGAGCACCAAGCAGCCCGAGGCAATGAGGAGTCCCAGCCACCAGGCTCCAATCCAGCGCTGGTCTCCTGGGACCAACTGCACATCCTCTGAAAAGAGATGGAGAAATTAAAAAAGAGCTTCGTGAGTCTACTTTCTGGTACAGTGGTACATTGGGTTAAGAACTTAATTCGGTCTGGGACTTCCGGGTTGGCGCCATCGGTAATGGCGGATTCCCTCTGAGTTTCTGAGGGACCAGCTCCGCGGGATCGGGTCGGACCGCTGCGGCGAAGCGGGGACCCTTTAAAAATCACAGGCGGGTGAAGCCTGTGAACGTGGGGACTCGGCGGGCACCTTTTGCGCCCCCCCCAAACTGCGAAGGGACCCTTTTAGGGGTTCCGGAGCGAGACGGGGTGAGCGGCGCGGTGCTGAGAGTTGACTGCTTCTTCCGCGGAGTGAAGCCGCACAGCCGTTATCGGAGAGCGCTGACTTTTTCCTGGGACAATTTGACTTCTAAAACAACTACCCGTGAGTAGGATAAAATTGGATTTGAAGGGAAAAATAATTTAATTCGGCACCGAAGTGGGAAGGCATAAACAGGAAGTCCGCCTTCCTTTCTTGTAAACAGATCAAAGCAAAGAGACTGTAAGCGGAAACTTTGAAAGATGTTTGAATAAAGACTTAAATCCTAACATCAGAAAAGCGATCTCCCCTCCGGATTGCAGGAGAGGAGGGGGGAAAGGTTTGAACTGTATTTATCTGCAAAAAAAGAGGGAAAGGAAGCTAAAATCCACCGCTTAGAGCCTGGGAACGGACTGCCCTGAGACAAGGAATGCCGCTCTGTGAAAAGCACTATCGGTAAACAGAGTACTTTTGACAGCTAACTCTGCAAGAGAGATACAGTGTTTCTGGACTTCTCCTGGCTTTAAAGTAACTGATTAAGTGCAATTGAAACTGCTTTTTTTTGTGAATTGGGGGATTTATAAGGACTACTTTTTTCTTTTAAGTTGCAAGCTTTGATTGTTACTGTGTCCCCCTAGAGGAGGCTTGACATTGCTACAATAACAACTGGGCTAGGGGAATTTTCCATTTCAAAACAAATTCTAACCGTGGGACTGACCTTGGACTTCTATGAGAGTGTTATGGCAGATGGAAGAGGAAAGTTAGAGCTGATTCAGGAAAAAACTACTAGGTCTGGCAGACCCTATCGGACAGATACTGCGTCGCAGCGAAGAGCTTCAACATCTGGTCCTTCTGGACCATCTGGATTATCAGGGGCTGCACCCCCACAAGCTAAACCAAAAGTAATGTCGTCTGAAGATGTTTTGGCTCTGGCACTAGGAAAAATTAATGAATCTTTGGAAAATTTAACCAAACAAGTAGCTGAAACAAATAAACAAGTAGCCGAAGCATCAGTTAAAATTGACCAAAATACTACAAGTATTAATAATTTGGGACAGAAGGTGAATACCAATACAGAGACTATTGAGAAATTGTTACAGGAATCTGCTTTGACCCGAAAGACAGCCGAAGAAGCAAAAGACATAGCAACTGCTACTCAAGAGAAGATACCACCGATATATAGGCAACTCGAGGACCACGGTTTGACGTTGTCTATGATTGAATTGAAGGAGAAACAAAGAAATTTGAGAATCAGGGCTGTACCAGAACTTGAGAAAGATAACTTGACTGACTTTCTTACGCAGGAATTTGCAGACTTCTGGCAACAGGATTTGGGGAAGGAAGAATTTAAGATAGTGAGCGCATTTAGACTTGGAAGAGGAGGAAGGAAGAACAAGGTGAGAGACTGTTTGATTACCCTTCGAACAAAAGAGGAGAGAGACAAAATCTTGAATCTGCATTACCAAAAGACTCTGGAAATATATGAGTCAAGTGTGGAGATATTTAAGGACATTCCAAAACATCTTTTGGACTTAAGGCTTAATTACGGAGATCTGGTTGCCCTGCTGAGAAGTAATAGAATCATCTTTAGGTGGGAATTCCCTCAAGGCCTGTCCTTTAAATATAAAGGAAGAAAGATAAAAATAAGATCAGTCAATGACAAAGATAGATTCTTGAAAGACCACGGAGAAGATCTACAGAAAGAAGTGGAATCTGGAGAAGAGCCAAAAGCACCGGAAAGAGGAATAATAGATATAGCAAACTTATCTTTTGGATTGCATGGTTCAGAGAAAGTGACACCACCGACAGAACAAGAACAAACACTTGGCGCAGTTGGAGGTAAAGCGAAGTAACCCCATCATGGCTCTGCAACTATTAAGCTGGAATTGTAATGGCCTCAATTCTCCTCGGAAAAGGAAAAGTGTTTTTCATTTACTAAAAAAGGAACAATTGGACTTGATTTGCCTACAGGAAACACACGTGATAAGGCTACACAGGAAAGTATTGATTAACAAGAGATTGGGACAGGAGTTTATTTCATCTGATAAAGTTAAAAAAAGAGGAGTAGTGATTTATGCAAAGGAGAGACTATCACCGAAATTCATTTTTAAAGACGATCAAGGAAGATTTGTGGCAATTGAAATTCAAGTTCAAGGAGAGAAATTTTTGATAGTAGGAATTTATGCACCGAATGAGGGGAAATCTGAATTCTTTAAAAAGTTGCATGAGACCTTAATGGACTATTTGGATTACAATCTGATTTTGATGGGGGATATGAATGGAGTAGTATCTACAAATATGGATAAGGCACAAAGACAAGTGGTCACCAAGGATGGTAGACTACCGAAAACATTTTTTGAGATGACAGACAACTTGGACTTAGTTGATACTTGGAGAACAAAGAATCCCTTGGGAAGAGAGGGAACCTTCTTTTCTGAAGCCAAGATGACATGGACTAGAATCGACCAAATATGGGTGACTAGAGGAATGGCACCAAAGATAAAGAAAGCAGAAATTTGTCCAATAACCTGCTCCGACCACAATGCTGTAAGGATGGAGATGAAACTAATATCAACTGGCTCCTTCAGATGGAGGATGAATGACACCTTATTCAGAGATGAAGAAGTTTATAAAAAGGCCCAAAAAACCTTGAGAGACTATTTTGAGATAAATATGAATACTAATGTAGAAAAAGAGTAATCTGGGACGCAAGCAAAGCGGTCATGAGAGGGTTTCTGATACAACAGAATGCTATAAAGAAGAGAAGCCAAAATGAGAAGAAAGATAAAATTCTGGAGAAAATAAAAGAAAGTGAGAAGAAATTGAGAGCAAAACCAAAGTCGCAGGAGATTTTGAGAGAAATAAAGTTATATCAAGTACAATATATGGAAATGATGAATCAGGAAATAGAATGGAAAATTAAACACATGAGACAAAAACATTTGAATCAGCTAATAAATGTGGGAAATTGTTGGCTTGGCAAATGAAAAAAAGACAAAAATTAAATACTATCACAAATTTAGAAGTGGAAGGAAAGAACATACACAACCCAACTGAGATTAGAAACTGTCTCCAGAGGCACTTTAAACAATTATACACACAAGGGCCACAGAAAGAAATGGACATAGATCGATTTCTGAAGACAAATGGATTACAAAAAATCTCTCAAGAAAGTAAATTAATGTTGAATTATAAAATATCTGAACAGGAAGTAGAAGGTGCCATTCAAAATATGCAATTAGGCAAATCTCCAGGACCGGATGGGCTGACTTCTAGATACTATAGATCCTTGAAAGAGTGGTTAGTACAACCTTTAAAGGAAGTCTGCAATGAAATATTGGAAGGGAAAAGGGCACCAGAGTCGTGGAAAGAAGCGTATATTACACTTATACCGAAAACAGAGACTGAAAAGACTCAGCTTAAGAACTACCGCCCCATATCATTACTTAATGTGGATTACAAAATTTTTGCAGACATTTTGGCCAAGAGATTGAAAAAAGTGTTGATGGAAGAGATTCATAAAGATCAAGCGGGCTTTCTCCCGGGAAGACATTTGTCTGACAATTTGAGGAATATAATTGATATTTTGGAAAAACTAGAAGTGAACATAAATACTAAAGCAGTTTTGATATTTGTGGACGCGGAGAAAGCTTTTGATAATATCTCTTGGAGTTTTATGAAGAAGAACCTACAGGGGATGGGGGTAGGCCAAGGCTTTGAAAACGGTATAAGTGCAATTTATTCAGAACAAAAGGCTAAACTAATTGTAAATAATGTGGTGACGGAAGAATTTAAGATAGAAAAAGGGACACGACAAGGTTGCCCAATTTCCCCATTGCTGTTTATATCGGTCCTGGAGGTTTTGCTGAATATGATTAGAAGGGACCAGTTGGTTAAAGGTATACAAGTCGGAGCTAAACAGTATAAATTGAGAGCATTTGCAGATGACTTAGTATTGACGTTACAGGAGCCAGAATCTAGTACCAAAAGGGTTTTAGAACTGATTCAAGAATTTGGTCAGGTTGCTGGATTTAAACTGAATAAGTTAAAAACCAAGGTTTTAGAGAAAACTTAACACCGATTGAGAGAGAGAGGTTTCAGAATGAGACAGGTTTAACAGTGGTTAAGAAAGTGAAATACCTGGGGATTAACATGACAGCAAAAATGGGAATCTATTTAAAGACAACTATGAAAAATGCTGGGCTGAAGTGAAAAAAGATTTAGAAATTTGGTCAAATTTGAAGCTTTCACTGCTGGGTCGTATCGCTGCGATAAAAATGAATGTATTGCCTAGAATGTTGTTTTTGTTTCAAACATTGCAAATTGTGGACAAAATGGATTGTTTCAAGAAGTGGCAGAGAGACATTTCTAGATTTGTCTGGCAGGGCTGCTGCTGCCACACGATTTATGTTCTCATCCTGAAGCAAAGTTCTTAACCTGAGGTACTATTTCTGGGTTAGCAGAGTCTGTAACCTGAAGCGTCTGTAACCCGAGGTACCACTGTATTTAGGTGGTCTGCACTGCACTGTGTTCCCATGGAGAATGAAAGATAGCTCATTCACCCGTGCAGGAAGGGGAACCTGTGGCCCTCCAGATGCTGCTGGACTCCAACTTCCAGCAGCCCCAGCCAGCATGACCAATGGTCAGGGATGATGAGAGTTGTAGTCCGACAACATCCAAAGGGCCACAGGTTCTCCTCCCCTGACCTAGTGCCTCAAATAAAATAATAATAATAATAATAATAATAATAATAATAATAATAATAATATATTATTTATACCCCACCCATCTGGCTGGGCCTCCCCAGCCACTCCGGGCGGCTTCCAACAAAATATTAAAATACAGTAATGCATCAAACATTAAAAGCTTCCCTAAACAGGGCTGCCTTCAGATGTCTTCTAAAAGTCTGGTAGGTAATTAATATCATTCATGTTCTTTTAGATATCACTAATCCCCAAATATCTCCAGGACTGCGGGATCCATCTTCCCATGTGACCAATCACCTTCAAGGGCACATCCAATATTGCTCAGGATTCCTACAAAAAGCGGCAATGCTGCCTCACCAGAGCTGGGCTCCTTTGTTGTTGCTGTATTGAGTCTCTTAATACTGGAGCTTTTTATTTTTGGCTACAGACATTTTTTGGTAGCTATTCAGATCTCAGTGCCTGGCACAACACTCATAGTTCCGCCATTTCACTAAACTGGGATAAATGAGAGGTTTAACACCTAAGGAAGCTCTGCTCTAAAAACCAGTAGCTGTAAGTTCAGGAGTAGGGAACCCGTGGCCTTCCAGATGTTGCAGAACTACAACTCCTTTCATCCTTCCCCACATTTGCTGGGGCTGGTGGGAATTGTGGTTCAGCAACACCTGGGGGGCCACACCTGCTACAGTTCGTGAAAACATGTCTCTTTAGTGAAGGCAGGGTATATTCTCCCCGATGATACAGTGGTACCTCAGGTTAAGTACTTAATTCGTTCCAGAGGTCCGTACTTAACCTGAAATTGTTCTTAACCTGAAGCACCACTTTAGCTAATGGGGCCTCCTGCTGCCGCCGTGCCGCCTGGAGCACAATTTCTGTTCTCATCCTGAAGCAAAGTTCTTAACCTGAAGCACTATTTCTGGGTTAGCCGAGTCTGTAACCTGAAGCGTATGTAACCTGAAGCATATGTAACCTGAAGTACCACTGTACTTCATTGGGAAAGTTGCTGCCACTTCAGATCACAATCCCTCTGAAGTTTGAGAAAGCACGAGCATTTGGTGAGGAACACACAGTGGAAACCAAAGAGCATCTGTGCTGCGGAAGGTGTTTCTTGGGAGGGAAGGCTTTAAGCAGGCGACAGCCAAGATATGGGGTTAAAGGAAGGAGCTGGCACATCCAATTCATTTGTGCGATTACAAAGTTAATTAGAGAAACCAACCCTCTTTCCTTTTAGACGCCTAATGCCTGCTGAAACGGTTTCCCCAGCAGTCTGTGCAGACAGGGGAGCTGGAAATGTTAGCTGCCCTCTTCCTGGAAAGACTATGCTGTCCCATTGTTCCTAGGCTGGGCAGAGTTCTGCTGGCAGAGAGTCAGGCACTAGCACAGTCACTGATCCCCGTGGAGCAGCCATCTGAATGAGCCTGGCTTTTGGAGTCTACGCTCTCCAGGGACTCTGGAGAAGAGACGCCGAGTCATTTCGCTTTGAGAGCGGACATCCTCCAGGCAGGAGGCCTTGCTCAAAGGAGCCCACGCTTCACTGGGGTTGGCATGGAAAGTGTCTCTCCACATTGTTAACGAGTGGGAAGGAATAAACAGCCATCTCCAGCCTTTTGCTCCTCAGCCCAGACTTCCTGCCCTTCAGGATTAAAGAGTGTGCAGGCAAAAAAACGAGCCCACGCCCGGCAAAAACAATGGCTCAGCTTCCCTGGACGTGACTGGCCCACTCAAGACTGGGCGACATCATCAAGCGGTGGCCACAAAGGGGTAATTAAAGCTGCCTGTCTACATGCAAAAGAAAGCCGCTGTCATTTCCATCCTCTCTTCTCACTTATTTTCTTTATCTTCCACAAGGTATCATTCTGTTATCTCTGATTGCCTGGAAGCAATGCAGGAGAATTCTTTAGCACAGAGACACGGATATAGGAAGAAAGCCTCTGTTGCATGGTGGGTGGGTGCTGGAGAGAACAGGTAGAAATAGTGATCAACCCTAAGGCAGCAATCTTCTGAGTCCAGTGCTCTTTCAGACGTACAAAGCAAATTTGTGGTGCAACAGCCCCAGACTGTCATCACCCTGCCCCACCCCAATGACAGGCAATATATGTGAAGCAAGAAATAGCACCATGGTGTAGATCGGGGGGGGGGCGGGGGCGGCGGCAAGCAAAGATGGAGAGAATGGCCTGCCTTAAGCTATCTAGCCAGATTACCTGCATTCCAGATTACCTGCATACTCTGCCACAGAACAACAATAGTGCATGAAGTTCATTGCATGCACGGAGATAAACCCATCTAGTTTCTATAGACAGTTCCATCTACCTGCATTATGGCATCACATATTCAGGATACTTCCCTGCCAACATGGTTATGTGATCTGTGCAAAGTGGATCTGAATCACTGCTGTGCTTGTACATGTACAATCATCAACAAATGTCCCTGATTCAACAGCAGACACCGAATGTGATGTCTCCCTCGGGTGAGGAGCAAAGGAAGCCATTCTAGTGGATCTCCACACTGCAAATGATCGGCCATCAGATCTGGACATCTCTGCCCCATGACTGGGGTCCTCATACCAGCTGCCTGAGTTCCTGGCTGGCACGCACAGTCACTCACTATTCCCCCAGAGTCACAGGTGTACAGGAGATAGCAAGCCAGACAGGAACATCAGGGCCACTATATGGACAGCAGCATGTGAAGCTGCTCAGGAGGAAGGGGCAGCACATGGAAATACGCTGCTCAGATCAGGGCCTGGCAAAAACCCAAAAGGGATGGAGCTCCCAGCTCTCAGCCCACTCTGAGCTCTGGCTTTCCTGACCGGGTAAAGTGACAGCATTGCACACTGCATGCTCAGGTCACTTAACGGGGCAACGACTTTGGCAATTGAACCACTACTTTGTGGTGGTGGTTCTAACATTCTTCCAATAATACCTGAAAACCTTTTGCTGCTTTAGGACTTTTAATCTGCAGCTAAGAATATGTGGTGATGTTGGTCTTTAGGTATGTAGGGGATATCAGAAAAATCTCTAACTGTATGTAGTCAGGTCATGTCTTTGCCTGTCACCTAGCAACACACCAAGAATCTGCCCTCAAACAAAACCGGGAACCAGTAGCGTGCTTTGTGTGGCCATGACTCAATTTCCATAATCAAGTGGCTCAGAAGATGGACCTGTGAATGTGTACGAGTCCAATACCCCCTCAGCAAGAACAGATACTCACTCAGGTCAACCCTCCCATAGTCCACAAAGATCCGCAGTGCTGCAGAACCAAGCAAGTAACCGAAAGCAGGGCCAAACACCGCAATGGCAAATAGGATTGCTGAAAGAGAGAGAGAATGAGCAAGTGTGCATGAGTGACATTGCATCCATGTTTCTGATGATGTTTTATTTCTTCCTAAAGCATGTTTTAAACCACACAGTGTTTGTAGTAAATGAACAAGAAGATGAATGGTGTTGAAAACCAATCAGACAGTTAATACTACTTCTGCATTCCACACATCTTATTGAATGAAAAGCAGCTGCTACTGTTCAGACAGGATCCTAGCAACGCTCGTGAAATAAAGACTATGGTAACACATCTTTTTCAACAGCTTTCCCAACCTGCTTTGGACCACAACTCCCATCAGCCCCAGCCAGCACAGCTGGGAGTTGTAGTTTAAAACATCTGAAAGGCAGCAGGCTGGGGGAGGCTGCATTGCTGTTCCACCTGCAATTTATTTCAAACATGAAAATCGTATGGTGAAGAAACACAGAGACAGAGACAAGCAAACAAATGTTCTGAGATGTGCATAAATACAGAAAGTATGCACTTAACCAAAAAAACTTTTAAATTAATTTGCACAATTGTTACTTTACTTTTGTGCAGAAATGCACAGAGACTAATTGTTTGAGCCCATGTTAAGAACTCTAAATAATAATAATAATAATAATAATAATAATAATAATAATAATAATAATAATAATTGTATTTATACCCCGCCCATCTGGCTGGGTTGCCCCAGCCACTCTGGGGTATATATACCTTTTTCAAACAGTGCAGTCCTATATATAGCTACAGAAATGACCCCCTCCCTTGAGTTCAATGGGACTTACTCCCAGGCAAGTGTATTTAGCAGTCCTCCCCAACCTGGTGCTCTTCAGATGTTGCTGGATTACAACTCCCATCAGCCTTGACCATTGGCTGTGGCTGATGGGAGTTGCAGTGCAAAACATTTGGACGGCACTAGGTTGGGGAAGGCTGGCGTGTAGGATTGCCATCAAAAACCTTGAGAGCAACCCACCAGAGAGATGAGTCACCCAAAGGGAATGTTCTGGAGCTATACTTTAGTGAGAAAGTATCGACAATGGGAAGGTTCAAAGCTTCCTGTTCCAACCACCAAAGTTTTTAAAGCATTTAGCAGAAGATACCAATGTTTTTATTATAGTTTCCTCCCAGTGCTCTTTTGCAAAAATGAAAGCTTAGATTTTTCATTATTTTGCAGATGCTGCCATATTCTGCTGGTATGTGTTTTCTCTGGAAATTGTATTCAAGCATGGTTGTTGTTTTTTTTTTTAAGACTCTGAGCACTATAGCCCAATAAAGACCAGGGGACAATATCTGTGGAAAGTTAGGCTACTTAGAATCATAGAACTGTAGAGTTGGAAGGGATTGAAATGGTCATTTAGTCCAACCTGCTTTATGCAGGACTCACAGCTAAAGAATCCATGACAGATGGCCATCCAATCTATGTTTAAAAACCTTCAAATGAGGAAGTCTCACGGAAGTCAATTACAGCCTAATCAGAATTGCTGCTAAAGTCCAAAAGGACAGTTCAAATACAATATTGATGTGCTGTGATAGCAGCGCTTGTAGGGAAGGGTTGCCCTTGGCTATAGGTCAACAAAACAGTGCAGTCCTGATTATGTACCTCAGAGCAACAATGAGCTATTTTTTATTTTATTAACACAAAGCTCCATTAAAGCCAATTGAAATCACCTGCTAGACAGCTAAAAATGTTATGCACTCGGGGTTGAGGAAAAACTGCCTCCAGAAAGGCTATCATTCTTTGAGGGGTGGGTGGTGAAGGAATATTTGACTCTGTCATTTCCAAAACTAATAAAGCTTTACTTTATCAGCCCCTGTCTCCTCGTTTTATGAACAGTACAGTCTGATGGGGGAAACAGGAGACAGGAGCTGCTGTTGCAGGAGGCACCACAAATTAGTGGGATGGAGGATGCCTCTCGTAAGAAGGCCCAAAGTTCAATCCTTGCAATATCCAGTTCAGAGACAACCAGGGGAGCTAGGCTAGATGGACCAATAGCCTGACACAATATACAGCAACTTCCTATGCTCACAGGACTGTTATTTACCAGCTGGTCATTCTGGGAGGAAAGGGCCACAGATAATCTGGGTGTTCCAGCTCTCATACAATTTCCAGGAAGCACATTCATGTTACCAATTGTCTGATAACATTAGGGACAGGGAGCCTGGAAGACAACTTCCAACATCCATGGTCATTAGCTATGCTAGCTGGGGCTGACAGGGCCTGGAGTCCAACAACATCTGGAGAGCCACAAATTCCCCATCCCTGGATTACAGGGCCAATTCACAAGGCAAAGTTGTCCAAACAACATCTAGCCCAGTGGCCCAAATTGTCGAGTGCTGATAGCGGTGATTTATTGCCTACCAATATGACTGAGGTCTGTGGTTTCATTTCAACCATCTTTTATGACTTGCTAATCATGATGCTTATTATGTTTTTTCCCCCTTCTGCACCAGAAAGGAACATTATCTGCTAATTAGATTCTCTTTTCATATCTACAAAGACAGATGGGAAACTCGTTATCAGAAAACGCCCCTGATATCTACAGTACTTGGTGCCTGAAAACCTCTATGACCCTTTCCCCTTTCCTGTAATAAGTACTCTTGCAATACCTTTGGACGGCCAACACCAACAAAGCCAATAAAAAAATAAAAATAAAATCATTTGCATTCTGGAACTGAAGGAAGCACTTTTTCCTTCACCTTGCATTTCAGACTTCTTCTTGGCCTAGTTTTACATAACAGCAGGAGGTGACTAGAAACATTTGAAATTCTGGTAGAGCCAAGTCTTGGGCTTCTCTCCACACCGGAGGATTCAATAAATTCAGGGAGGAGACAGCTATCAATGGCTAGTGGAGGCAGCAATACTTCCAAATACCAGTTGCTGGAAACCACAAGAAGGGAGAGTGCTCTTGTCCTCAGGCCCAGCTTCCGGGTTTCCCACAGGCATCTGGTTGGCCACTGTGAGAACAGGATAGTGGACTAGATGGGCCACTGACCTGATCCTGCAAGCTATTATTTTGTTCTTATGGAGATATTCAGAATTCTATTGTGGGATGGGAGAGTTTCCTTTCAAAAAGCAACCATGAACACATTTTGGCCTCAAAGAGTAGAATTCCGCTGCCAAATCTTAATGTTTTTTGGATTATTATTATTAATAATAATTGCATTGAGTGGAGATTTAAACCCCGGTCTCCCAGGTCCTACTGTGAAGCTCTAACCACTCTACCACACTGGCTTCTCTGAGTTGCAGGCCAGTCCTCTGTGCCAGTGGCAACAGGATACTGCATTAAACGTCAGAGTTGCAAGCACCAGTGGAGGGCTTTGTCCCCCTGGCTCTGGTGCTGGAAGCTGGCCCCCTCTTGGCAGAGGAGCAGGAGCAGCCCAAACGGGCTGCGCCGGCCAAGGACCTCTTCAGGACTGGGAAGCTGCTAGCGTCTTGGACAGCCCCCAACAGTTGTTAGAGGGGCCTCTGACTCGGGGGGTGGGAGGGAAATGATAATGATAGAAAGAAGCTGGAGGAACAAAGTGGAACAGAAACTAAAAAGGGGTAGAAAGTGTGTTTGTCCCCCTAAAAATACACATAATATCCTACCCTTTAAATCAGTGGTTTAAGATCTATGATAGGAAGGTGGTTGGGTGGTGGTGGTGGTGGTGGTGGTGAGAATTTTTCACTCCACGCCATTTTTTTTTTTTTAAAGTTAACAATTGAATCCAGCTCTGCCCTCTTTTGAAAATAAAAATTTAAAAAGCTCACCAAAACATAGCTGTCAACTTTTCCCTTTTCTTGCGAGGAATCCTATTTGGAATAAGGGAATTTCCCTTTTAAAAAAGGGAAACATTGACAGCTATGCACCAAAACTGCCCCACAGCACTGGCAGTATGACTTCTCTCTGTGATCTCCTACTACAGTTTCTGCCTAAGCAGGTGAAGTTCCAGATTTTGAGGGACTCTGTGGCCCCCAGCGCTGACCGGCCTATCCCACCCCGCTGCAGAGGTATCTACAGCCATGTGAACCCCATAGCATTGCTGATGCAGCCACCAGCCTTGCCTTCCCCCTCATGTGGGGTGACCAGGCGCTGCTGCTGGCTAAGCCCAACCAGGAGCATGACAGGGAGGTCTTATTCTGTGGCAGTGCTGTAATGGGCTTGGAGCAAAAGCAGCCACTCTGCCCCCAAGCCCATTATAGTGCTGCTGCTGCAGTTGCTAAATAAGTCCACTCACAAGCAGGGCTAGAGGAAGAGGTTTGGTGGCTGCTAGAATACTGCTGTTAGAAGTGCACTAGGGTCAAGGGGGATCCAGGCAAGGAATTAGCCCTGGTGGGCAGGATCAGGGCGCATGAGCCCCAGTAAATGCCTGGCCATGTGCGACTCTTAGTGCACTACTTCAGCTCTCCTAGAAGAAGAAATCATTTCGGCAAACACTACAGTTTTCATGCACAGAAGGGCACCCCTAAATCTCTCCAACACCATCACATTGAGAGGAGAAAGAAAAACTGGCACTCTCAACATAGCCATGTCAGTCACACAACTAAGGATGGCTTGTCAAGTCCTTCCAACATAGCGATTTTCATTGCAGGACCGATGAGCTGCATCAGAAGCAGCTCTTCAGTGCGAGCAATGGAAAGACATTTCCTAAACAGCAGATTCCCCACTCCGCCTGCTGCAAAGACATGGATAGCAAGGCAATGTAAGCTGGATGGTAAGGTGCAACCCTGCTACAGTAAGTACACCTTCCCAGGGAAAGGGCTTACCTATATACAAGGGAGAGTTGTTTGGCTCAGCAAAGTCATCCACATAGGAGATCCCAAAAGGCTGGATGGGGACTGTCCCAATTCCTGCCAACAGCTGTGCAACTACCATTATTGCCCACATGGTGCTGTCCTCGGCCTGGACACTCACGTTGGTGCTTGGACACACAAATTCGTTGTTGTTGCAGAGCTCAGTTCTGGCACTTCCGCTCTTGTTACCTGCATCTTGGAACAAAATGATGGGGGTGAGGAATTAATAGGAAAAACAAACAATGTGGGAACTCCCAGGCCACTGTACCCAAGTCTGATCTAAAGTCTGGTGCTGGAAACATAATTTGTCATTGCAAAAGAAAAAGAAGCAGCAAAGCAAAGCCTCACAGTTTGAGAATCACTTTGCAGGGATGTTGCCTGTGCAAGTTCACATGTTGCCTGCAGGTCTAGCTTAGGTCACACTCAAGATTCACTGCAGGTGCCCTGGTACACAGCAAACAAATGGGGAGCAGTACAGATGGGGACAATCAAGATACCCCACCAATTTCTAAGCACCTTTAGGGCCCAAATGACTAAAAGTGAACATGAACACAGGAAAAACCCTCCTGGATCAGACTAAAAGTCCATCATAGCCCAGCTTCCTGTTCTCACGTCGGCCAACCAGATGCATATAGGAAGTTCACAAACAGGACTGAGTGCAACAGCACTGCCCCTTCTTGTGATTCCCTGCAACTCATATTCAGAACATAGCCTAGGGGACATTAGATCTATGGTTGGCCTATAGACAGGCATGCAAAGCACTTCCACACGCAGTTGGAGAGGGAGCTGATTTTTCTTTCTTGCACCCACCTTGGAGGGGGGGGGACCTTTTGGGACAGCCACTGGAAGGGGAAGGCTGAAAGACCTGTAGAACACCTGCTTTGATTGCCGAAGCTCTCAGGTTCAATCCCTGGCATCTCAGGTAAGGCTGGGAGAGACAGCCTGCCTGAAACCCTGGAGAGCATCTGTCAGTCAGTATGTAGGTCGGGCATAGGCAAACTCGGCCCTCCAGATGTTTTGGGACTACAGTTCCCATCATCCCTGACCACTGGTCCTGTTAGCTAGTGATCATGGGAGTTGTAGTCCCAAAACATCTGGAGGGCTGAGTTTGCCTATGCCTGGTGTAGGTAATATTGTGCTAGATAGACCAAGGGTCTGATGTGCCATAAGGCAGCTTCCTATGTTCCTATGCAAAAGCTCATGCAGAGGCCCATGTGTGGTCCTTTGTACCTGGCCCAATCTTTTATATACAGCACCTTACAGTTTGCGGCAATAGCAACAGAACTCTTTTAAGTGAAATGCATCCTTAGGCTTCCTTAACAACCCCTCATTCCTGGATTCGGAAGACCTGCCAGAACTGTAAAACTTCCTCAATTTAATTAGCAGCTGTCACCACCTTTTTTTCTTTCAAGGTATTACCACAACACTGCTTACAGGGATAAGTTCAGAAAGAGCTTTGAACAAACCTATATCAGTGTATTTTGTGGGTGGTGTGGGGAGGAGAAAACATCAGACGCCAACCAGAGAATTATTGAAGGAGGAATAAGGGTGGTTTGTCCAGGACTCCTATTTGCTTTCAAATTACAAATTAGCTTTCATGGTGAACAAGCTGTTCATAGGGGAGCAGGAAACCAATTCCAATCTATTAATCAGAGTACTTGAAGTGCCTTTTAGAGTGAAGAAAACAATGCTTAAATATCTGGAGGCGTCTAGGAACCCACATCCAATGCAAAATTAAAACAAATGCAGTGTCCTTGCCACACATGTCAGTTCTCATACATCTTGTGCCTCATTATTTGTTCATTTTTACAACTGTTCCACTATTCCCGTCAAGCCAGAGCACTTAACGAGTGGCCGAGAAGACTTGTGGTACTTTGATTGTATAAAAGAGCTGAAACAAAAATGTTGACCAGGTAATTTTGGGCTTTCAGCTAATGCAACATCACTTTCCACATACTTCTCTACACTACCACAAACATTCCTGTACATGTTCATTACAAAACCCTTATTACACAAGGCTGGAATGTATTTTCAGAACTCTGGGACCTTCTTAACTATCTTAGATTTACTTCCATAAATTCAATTGCCATGGGGGGCATGTTAAACTTATCGTCTGCCAAAATAGAATTTTTGTAAGTGAAACTGGTTTGGGGTAAATGAGAAGAGAAATGCCAGCTATACCAAGGTTTTGAGGTTTCTTTGTTTATATAAATGCTCCCATCTTTGGTTCCTGCCACTTAATAAAGAATTGGTAAGCAAATCTAGGAGGACATAATGGAAAACAGAGAGCTTCATTATTTCCTGCCCTGGTACACACAACTGGCCTAAGTTATGCCTTTGGCTAAGTGTGTGGAGAGTAATATATTTCTGAGCATGGGGATATTAAAATGGTAAATGAGGGCTTTGGGTTCAGAACAAGAAACAAACCTTCTTACAAGAGGATGCCAGGGGCCTAGCCATAAAAATGAAGCCACCCCATTAGTTGTTGCAATACAAATTAATATACTGCTGTGAGTGTTTAAGATCTTGCATTTAATGATATTTAAGCACTTTACATTTAAATAAACGTGAACTATATTACTATGTGAATTCATGTAACTATTCCTCAGCAGTAGTGTAAGTAAGACTGTATTAGAGGTTAATGTGTTGAGAAGCAATAATGCCAATGGGTGGCATATTACAAATGTTCTGTCTTTACTAACATATCAGCTTGCCAGATGGAACAATCCCCCCTCATATCTCTGTTGTTCAGGGGGTTCTCTCTCTCTCTCTCTCTCTCTCTCTCATGCACCCCCCCCCAATTTGGGGGCACGCAGGGGCAGGAGAGGGGGAAAACCCTGTTGTGCAGAGCTTCTGCTTACAGGGTTCTATAAATGTATCTGCACAAGTTAAGAGAACATTTGAAATAAAAAGTAGCAGCAAATAGCAGTTTGGGGTAATTTTTACCAAGAAAATGACATGGGGCAAATGATTAAACCTTTCTCCCCAGGCCCATAGCACTGGGGCCCCCAATGCCGCTTTTGTTTTTGTTAAGCGTGTGAACTCCCAATCACTGAAATAAAAAATGCATATAAAGTAATGGGTAGTTTGACCCTGAGATACCCTGTTCAACACTGCAACCCACTTCACTGTATAGGATTCTGTGCTGTATAATGAAAGTTTGCTTATTTAAGGATTCCACCAAGTTTAAAAATAATAAAACTGTTGTTTCTTTAAGAAGGATTAGATATAGACTCTTCTGATAATTGTGGCAAACTGGGACATCTTCTAAAAATCCCTCGAGATGTCTAATCTTGGTGTGAAAAATCTAAACATCAGAAAATTCATCCTGCACACATAGACCATTGTATTTAACTAACCTTTACTCAGAGTAGTCTTATTAAAACCAATGACCAAGACTAACTTAGGTTCATTCATCCCAATGGGTGTACTTCAAGTAAAAGTTAGTTGAATACAATGCAGTCTGGAGTATGTGTATTTTTTTTAAGGTGAACCTTATTTATATAGCAAGAATGTTACCAATATGTTTGCAACAACTGATAACATATTCCCTTTGACTACAATGAATTCATGTTGTCATTGGGATTAGTCTTTCCTCTGGCCATTTATGAAGCAGCAGTCAACCCACTGCAGACAACAGTGGTTGTGATTTTGGACTAAATTCCATGGAGAAACGTTAGTCTAGAAGTAAAAATCTGTGTAGATGCTACAGGACAGATCCATGTGCTAGATAGCAAACTCCTGCTGGATCCCACTCGCAAGATCTTTCCTGCAAAATCCACAATCATCTTCAATTCCATGACGTATTCTGCTATGCTTTTTTCCCCATGGGCATAATTCAAAAAGGAGAAGCTGTGGTGTAGGTTTTAAGGGAACTCGGATGCAATTCCTGAGCTTGCCAACAACTTTTGACGCCTTGATTTCCCCCCTTTTTGGAAGGCAAGTGGGAACAATGTTTTTCAAGCTTACTTCCTGGCTATGCTACAGATAAATATCATGACAGCAGAACTAAGAGTTGTTATTACCTGATTATATTCTATGATTAGAAGGTATTGAAGGAGCCACATGTATGTGCCAACCTTCCTGGAGGAATCGTTCCCCCAACTTTCACACGTCTCTTTCTTTGCAGAGAAGATGGTGACAAGCCTGATTTGCAAACAAATGCCTGGCACCGTGTCAACTAATGCTGGCTGGTGCCAGCAGAAGCAACAAACATGCCGGTGCCATTCATGGCCAGAGGGGATCATGGCTTTGCTACCTGGCATGAAAGGAAATTGGGTGAGGGGGAATGCAAGGAAGCAAAGCCGATCCTGTGATCATTGGTGTGAGCGCCACCCCTCGCTTTCCCCGATACAGGATTCTGGCAGAGGAAAAAGCATATACTGAGCAGCTATGCTATGCTAACCAATCCATCATCAGGTAGCAGCCCTGCACATTTTTGGTGGCGTCAGATAATAGTGACACTTTAAAAGAAGCAATTCGACGCAGAGCAGCATCCACTGACACAAGACATGAACCAAAACATTCATTGCCTTGGGCTCCCTTGGCAATGATCTGGTTTGGCACACCCATGACAGGCAAGTCATTGCACAGAGACCGCAGCATGCCTCGGGGGACGTTGGAAGCCTGGATGGGTAAAAGCCAAGTGCCTCTAATGTGCAACTGCATTTGCAGGCTTAATTTCCCAGGGAGAATAACATACCTACCTCACAGGATACTGTGAGAACTAAGCTACCAAGGATTCTGAAGCAAAACTGCTGTCGCATAGACCTTGACTAAGGTCCCATCTGCACTATACACCCTGAAGAAACTACATTCCCCAGGATTCTTTGGGGGCAGCCATGACTGTTCCCAGCGGTATGATACTGCTTTAAAGGTATCGTGCAGATGGGAGCCTATGTTTTATTAATTTATGTAAGCCACTATGAGGACACAGCAAACATAGTTTCACAAAGTCCCTAGCCATCAGAGCAGAGAAGGGCTGAGGCATAAGAGATATTTGGAAATATACATACTGGTTTGTGCTGTGGTGTATTGATATGGGGCTGAGAGAAAATGTGGAAGAGTGAGAAGGAAGGCCCCCAGTGCCAACAGCAGGCCTCCCAGGCCAATTATCCTAGGCCGGTGGACTCGGCTGCCGAAGTAGCTCACAAAGATGATGAGGACAACATTCCCGATCTGTGGAGACATAAAAGTGCACAGATGAGAACGTCAAAACAGACCTGAAAGAAGACACCAACCAGACAAGGAGGCACCTCAGTGTCTCTGCTTTTACTTCTGAGTTTAGTTTATTCTGGGATGGCCCACCTCTGCTTTTTGTGTACGAGGTAGCAATTTTTTTCCTGAAGACATACAAAGAGGCAGGCTTCATGGTATTCCCCAATGAGAAAAATGCTTACAGGTAGAGTAGAGCAGGGTTTGGCAACGTGACACCCACGAGTGTCAGTCTCAGTAAAAGATCTCAGTAAACATCCTTTCAACAATCCATAACACAAGAAAGACTGTTTGCTCTTTCCGCGTAGTTTCTGTTTGCATGGCTCAGCCTCTCCCACACTGAACATGTCCCCTTAATCATGCCCACATTTCTGTTCTGAACAGGGACAAAAGTGTCCTGTCTGTGAGGGTGGCAGCGGCTGATGAGTGCTGTTTAGGGGAGATGCCACAACCATTCTGCCATACCCCTATGGCAGTCATTTGGCGTTGCATTATGCTGCCCCCCACCCCAAATCATGGTACTCATTTGGCATTATTCCAGGCTCAAAATTTGGGACTCTCTCAAAATTTCACTGGCCTAAAAAGGTTGCTGACCCCTGGAATAGAGGCTGTAAAACATCTCCTATGTATCTTTTGTAGGACCAAAGTGTTGTGGCTGGGTGTAGCTTAAAACAGGCTACAGCAGCGACAAGAAGAGAGCTCTCCGAACCCCTAGCTTGCTAGAAATGGGATGGGCAGTACAGAATTGGGAAAGAGTGGCTCAGCCATCTTTATCATCTAAGACCTTGTATTGCTGGTGAGGCGTCTTCAGGATACAGCAGTGTAAATAATCAGGATGATGTAAATAGCAGGCATAGCTCACAAGTTATTGTGTACGAAGGGAGAGTGCATTTAAAACAGCTTTGTTGTCTGTGCTAAACCAATAGCTCTTCAGCAGCATCCGCCACCCAAAATCAATTGGGGGCCAAAAGCAAAGGCAAACAAAAAAGAACAGTATGGAAAAGGAACACAACAGTGGAGAAGGCAGAAAGAAATAGATTAACTGGATGGTAGTTCAGAGCAAAGGATTAGAAGGGCTAAGGGCCAGTTCACATACAACAAGATTACTCAACATTTGATGGTCTAAAGATTAATGCAAATTATTCTATTGGAAGCACTGCATCCAAGACCATATGAAGCTCCTATCTGTGATGTGTTCTGGTTATTTGATCTGTGAGGGCTGATTCGCACGTGCAAGTCACTGCTTGATGCACTAGCAACCGAAAGTAAACATGCCTATGTTGAACATTCCCCTGGGTGAAAGCAATACCTATGATCATTTAAAGGAAAAAGCAGGGTAGCGTGGTTCTTTTAAACACATGACACTTTCCAAATGTCAAGTGCCCACGATTCACTTATTATGGTTGAAAAGCAATAAAGCAGCAGGATAACCAACAAATGCAAATGTATTTCTGAGATTGTATTTAATAAATTCTCTGGAGCGTTTAAATGAAGGAATTCATTTTATACATTAAACACTCACACACAATGCGAGCATTAGATGTAAGTATGATCTCACCAGAGATATTTACAATAGAAAAAAAATCAACATACAGCATTCATTTCTATTATTTTTGAAATAAAAGAGATGCTAAAGGTACTTCTGCTCTGTGGAACACAAATGTTTAATTGGTATGTACCTAAATAGTGACGTCCAATCAGATTATTGTGTAAATTTGGACTGTGGCAACATCTTCATGTTAAACATCTTCATGTACCAATAATGGCCCCAAACAAACATTATTGCTAAACAATCTAGAATTCATTTGCGCCAATTTTTTTCCACATAATGCAGGCCAACACAGCTCAGTTGAAGATGTTGGCTTACACTAAAGTAAGGATCTGCCCTATGCATAGTTCAACACCCCCTGAATGCATTCTTGAATGGTCAGTACTGCGCAAGAATGTAGACATGTGATTCAAATCAGTCCTCTTGGTGTCTGTTAAAGGGTCTGGATTTTAAAATCTGTTTGGAAGTATGTGGATCTATGGGTTTGGCATGAGACAATTCCCTTGTTGTCTCAAAACATTTACATGTTGCATGAGATGTAATGGTTAGCCATAACGTGCGGGTTACATAAAGTTAGAATTGCACTGGCTAGGTCCAGACTTTCAGACTAATTTAACATTTGAAACTACAGTAATTGTGCCCAAGTTTCCTTTCTTATATGCTTACATGGGCTCCCCTCCCTGGTTTTGCGGCTTTTGGAACCAATCTAACAAATAAATGAGAAAAACTTTATAATCCCAGAGAGAGTCAGGAAGGGGAGCCCCATATAAAAGTATGAAAGTGTCTGGAAGCAAAAGCAAATGTATTCCAAATGGATGGGAAAGATAACTACTTGTGGGTTGGAATGGCCACAGATATATGACTGCCCAAGGAATCTACCACAAAGTGGACACCATGAAGGTTTCCCAACTACAAGACAACATCTTTTTTGCATAAAAGTACTGAAGAATTTCCTGTGTCCCCTGCTGTGAATGGAGCAATGTGTTTCAGGACCTGGTTAGAGCATTTCAGGGCACCAGAGTTTGTTTTGTTTAATGGCTCTTGCACACTCATGTCAAAGAAGGGAAGAGCTGTGGCTCAGTGGCAGAGAACATGCTTTTTGTAATTAGGAGTTCCCAGGTTCCATCTCCAGTTGGGGCTGGGAGAGAACAGGGTCTGAAATCCTGGAATGCCTCTGCCAATCAGTGTAGACAATACTGAGCTAGACCAACCAATGCCAAGGCAGCTTTTTATGTTATTTATTTATTTAGCTACCTAGCTATTTATTACCATTAATTCTACCTTACTTTTCAGGATACAAATCCTTCTAAGGTAAAAGGTAAAAAACAATAGGTGTAATTCAGCATAGCCTTAAGGAGACCGTTCCATCAGCACAAACACTTCTGCTTGTCCTATGAAACGACCTCTCCTTTCCCTCACCCTACATACTGTTTGGGGGAAAGAAGATTTGGGGGAAACACGGGTGGTGGTGGAAGGGGGGGAAACCTCATTGAGGTAGCAGCCCCTTGAGAATGGGTTGGTTGAATCTGACCCTATGCTTTTTTTAAAACTTCAACAAAAAATGTCAACATACAAAAAGTAATCAGGATCTTTCCCACAGGGAAAAAGGTACAGCCCTTGAATCTTTTAAAGTAATAATAATAATAATAATAATAATAATAATAATAATAAATCGGCCTCAGTATTAGAGATCTCAATGTAAATCGAGGTCAATGATGCTGCCTACACTGCCTATCTGACAAAAGAAACGTTTAAAAATGTGATCTAGTTTCAGACACATATACCACGATATAATGGGGCATAATCAATATTTGCTCTTATTTTGCCCTCTGGGCAAGTTCTATTACTCCTACTACTTAGGGAGAAGTCCATAAAGATGCTCATTGAAGTAGCTGCTTCTCTAGCTAGGTAGAAAGAGTCGCAGAAGCAGCGATTTAGAGTCCCGAATAAAGTAGGAAATATGGATGGCCCAAGAGGTATAACACTGGGGACTGCAGGGCCAGCTCCAAGATATTTTGCTCCCTGACCTAAAAGGACAAGAAGGTGCATCCAACTAGACTGGCAGGTGAATCTTACCTCAACACCACCAGCAGGACTGTAACCTTCTCTGTACCTGAAGGCAGCAAGCTACCTTTGGTGGAGCAGGCCAGGCAGCTTAGAGGATTCAGGGGGGTTTTGCCACCTCAGAGCTGCCTCGCTCTGTCCAGTGCTTGGGCTTGCCCTGAAGAACTGTTCAGCTTTGATTTTTGCATTCTGTCCATGTATCCCATGGGCGTTCAAAGAGAAGTGGGTTGCGACTGACATGTTTATGGGCTTCCTCTCAAGTCTCTGGAAGTGGTTGATGCTGGAGGCAGCAACAGGGTGAGAACCACTAGGAGTGATTTTTTCTAGAACAGCCCTCAGAGAAAGGAGTGGGAAACAAATCTAAACAGATGGACAGTCACGCTAACACAGCACAGTTTAACTGGTCTTATGTTCTCAGTTAAGTGTGAGGCTTTGGCAAACGCTTTCCCTCGCAGTGCTATGTGAACCAGAGCTGCTCACCCTGATGGCTAACTGCTGGGCCCTTGGATGTCGGTTCTGCTCTGCTTTCTGCTTGTGCCAGGCCCAGAGGCTCATGTTTACTTCAGGCCCCATCCATTTTATATTTCTGCCCAAGTGCGGTTCGCGTGCTCTTCGCACGCTGACAGTACAAACTGTGCAAACGCAGCAGAGCCCCGGCTAATTAACACACCTATTTTGTGCTTCCCCCTAGAATTTGATAGCGTCGCTTGCCAGGCTCCAGGTGCTTTGCCAAATATCAAGCTTAAAAATCAAAGCTGTTCCTGATTGAGTCACTAGGGGCCAAGTTCCAACTTGAAAACTGCTCAAGCAGAGCCAGAACTATATTATAGCACCAGCCACTGCAAAACAGTACCACATGGAGAAATTCAAAGTCAAGGGCAGCCTACTGTTGGTGGGTAAGTAGATGGGAGACTGTATTGCAGTCACTGCTGCACTGGTATTAAGACTGTTTTGCTCTTCTTGGACAGGAATATCCGATGGACAAGAACTTTGGATCGGTCCAGACCGCCTGTTTACGTCCTGCTGTCTTTTCCTGCTTGGAGGCAGCGAAAGCAAAATGGTCCCCATTTTAACCTCTGGCTGTCAATGGCCCTTTGCAGGATTCTGCACTGCAGATGTGCCTCTGACATTTCTGATAGTTTTGGATCCCAGAGCACAAAAGTATCTAAAGCTTCTGCTCCTCCTGATCTGTTTCAAAGGGAAGTCTGTGCTGGAAATGACAAAAAGATGCTAGGAGTCATTTCCCGCAGGAGGATAATTTCCTAGTGTATTAGAAGTACTTATAAACAAGCTGAGAAAATTAAGCAGCCCCAAAGCCGCAGAGCTTAGAGCAGGCATCCCCAACCTTCGGCCCTCCAGATGTCTTCAACTACAATTCCCATCATCCCTGACCACTGGTCCTGCTAGCTAGGGATCATGGGAGTTGTAAGCCAAAACATCTGGAGGGTCACAGGTTGGGGATGCCTGGTTTAGAGGTTAGGAAAGGGGAGAGGGCTCTAAACCTGCCAGCCAAAGTGCAATGCAGAGAATTATGGGAAGCAAAGGCTGCAGAAAATGTTTCAGAAAGGGAATGGGAAAGAACTGGAGTTGGAGGGTCTCCTGGATTCGAAAGCAGGGCAAAGGAAGCAGAGCAAAACCACAACCGAAGCAGCAAAAGCCGTTGCTGTTGGCTGGGTTCCATGAATGATGTTGACTCCATCCCCGGGGAAAGAGGGATTTCTCATGGGAAACACTGACATAATCTTAATTATGGGGGTACTACAAAGGTGCTGCTATAATAAAGGCTATCACCGTGTGTAAAGTTCTAGACATTAGTTTTGGATGGTGCAGGGGATGCTGTAATGGTCTGACTCACAGCTCCATAACAAATTGGGGGGTTTTCACTTTCTTTTAATATAGCATTAATTAACGTGTAATGCAGCATTACACACCAGATGCGGCACCACTTCTGAGGGCCTGGAAGAAAGCACATATCTATTAAACCCATGGGTGTAGCAGCACTCCATTGCACAGAAAGGTAGGTCAGGCTCTCCTCTTTCTCAGGGAAACAGTCAGAAAGCAGCAGGCCCCAAGGCCTCAAAATCATTCTTTCCCACTGCCCCCCCACTTCCCAGCATTCTTGTTTCGGAAGGAATTGTCCTCACTAAGTGTCATTCCAAGGCAGCATCCAGTTTGCCTTCTTAAAAACTATCTCTCCCTCGTATAGCCTATCGTTATACGATAGGCTATAGGTGGGGGATGAATGTTCAGACCCCTGGGCTCTCACTTGTGGGGTGCCTCAGGGTTCTGTCCTCTCCCCCATGCTTTCCAACATCTACATGCAGCCGCTGGGAGAGATCATCAGGGGGTTTGGGCTGGGTGTTCATCAGTATGCGGATGATACCCAGCTCTACCTCTCTTTCAAATCAGAACCAGTGAAGGCGGTGAAGGTCCTGTGTGAGTGGTCTGGAGGCGGTTGGAGGATGGATGGCGGCTGACAGATTGAGGTTGAATCCTGAAAAGACAGAAGTACTGTTTTGGGGGGACAGGAGATGGGAGGGTGTGGAGGACTCCCTGGTCCTGAATGGGGTAACTGTCCCCCTGAAGGACCAGGTGCACAGCCTGGGAGTCATTCTGGACTCGCAGCTGTCCATGGAGGCGCAGGTCAATTCTGTGTCCAGGGCAGCTGTTTATCAGCTCATCTGGTATGCAGGCTGAGACCCTACCTGCCCGCAGACTGTCTCGCCAGAGCAGTGCATGCTCTAGTCAACTCTCGCTTGGACTACTGCAATGCACTCTATGTGGGGCTACCTTTGAAGGTGACCCGGAAACTACAACTAATCCAGAATGCGGCAGCTAGACTGGTGACTGGGAGCCGCCGCCGAGACCATATAACACCGGTCTTGAAAGACCTACACTGGCTCCCAGCACATTTCCAAGCACAATTCAAAGTGTTGGTGCTGACCTTTAAAGCCCTAAACGGCCTGGGTCCAGTATACCTGAAGGAGTGTCTCCACCTCCATCGTTCTGCCCGGACACTGAGGTCCAGCGCCAAGAGCCTTCTGGCAGTTCCCTCACTACAAGAAGCCAAGTTACAGGGAACCAGGCAGAGGGCCTTCTCGGTAGTGGCACCTGCCCTGTGGAACGCCCTCCCACCAGATGTCAAAGAGAAAAATAACTAGCAAACTTTTAGAAGACATCTGAAGGCAGCCCTGTTTAGGTAAGCTTTTAATGTTTAATAGGTTATTGTATTTTAGTGTTTTGTTGGAAGCCGCCCAGAGTGGCTGGGGAAACCCAGCCAGATGGGCGGGGTATAAATAATAAATTATTATTATTATTATTATTATTATTATTATTATTATTATTATTATTATACACTCATGGCCTCAATGATGTAAGAAGCAGTAGAAGAAGGTCTTCTCGGTTATCTGGAGTGTGAACTATCGTCCTTCTATTACTTCATCAGCAATGACTGCATAACCACAGGTACCTAAACTAAGGTCAGGGAAACACAGGGAGTAATGAGGCAGGATGACCAGTTCCACTAGCTTTATGTTGAACTGGCATGCCTCACACACTTACCTCATGCAAACTGGAGATAAAGCCAGAGGACAAACTGGAGAGGCCAAAGCGTTTCTCGATGGTTGTCAGGCTGCTCTTGAAGTAGGCACTGTAGAGGAGCTGGGCCAGCTGCAGAAGGCTATGGCAGGCAACAAACACCTGTTGGCAAAATGGTAACAGAATTAGGGTCATGGCAAAGTGAGGCCGCATAAATCACCAAGATCAGGGCTGAAGCATCCTCAGACTGGTGATCCTGGGGTGTGGTCAAGATATTGCCAGAGCGATAGTGTGCATATAAAACCACACTCACAACCCAAAATACAATTGACTCAGTTATTTGGATGAAGCCTTCCTGGTTCACTCGGGTTGTCTTTGCAACTTGTTCATGCAACGTTTCTTAGAATCCAGTGACTTCATTGCTAAGCTGAGTCTCCCACCCATGACACACGTCGGAAGCGCCGACACTGAGAAAAGATCCAAACATTGTGACAGGCATTATGAAGAGGACGGGGGAGTCTTTTGCTTTTGTAATTTAAAATGTGATTGATTGACAGGTTTACACAAGCAAATGAGCATTAGACAGAAAATGCATTGTGACTGCTGAAGGCACTGCCTTCTGACTGACAAGAGAGTACCCGTTCCAATTATTACTACTGCTTGACATAAGCATCATGTCTTCATTGCCTCTGTTTAGAGCATGAAATAGGTGCTTGTTAAAACAAACAAGAATGGGAATTTAGCAGTGAGGAGTACTGCTGTTCAGGGTTTCACCCATTTAATCTCATACACATATAATACATATATAATTCCCATATGTGCTTTTTTACAGGGGGTAATCAAGGGTCTGCAGTATCCTCACCTCTTGCTGTTGTTGTTAAAAAGTGGGACACTTACTGTAACAACTTTATGGTGAGTACCGGCACCTATTTTCCTAGGAAAAAAGCACTTATTCCCATAGTTAAAACCATGCTCCAGCCAGCTTGCAACGAGAAAACCCAATTACAAGCATAACAAAAGTAGTTATAAGCAATAAATAAACATCTGAAAGTACACAACAAAAATTAAACAATTTCCCATCTCCACCTCCACATTGTGAAAGAAACAATATTGTTCAGAAAACAGGATGAAGACAGCATAATTTCAAATACTGTACTTCATGTCCCCTAGTTCTGGAGATGGGACAACCCCAGCAAGACTGACTGGCAGGCTCCAATGGCCTCCAACCTCACTTTTGGAATGCATGTGCCAACCAGTAATTTTACCAATAAAGGAACATGAGAAAGCAGGACAGGAAATGGAGGCAGGACGAAAGGAGGAACCTTATACAGTGGTGCCTCGCAAGACGAAATTAATCCGTTCCACGAGAGTCTTCGTCTAGCGGTTTTTTTGTCTTGCGAAGCAAGCCCATTGACGGATTAGCGCTATTAGCGCTATTAGCGGTTTAGCGGCTATTAAAGGCTTAAAGGCTTAGGGGATTAGCTGCTAAAAGGCTATTAAAGGCTATTAAAGGCTTAGCAGATTAGATTAAGGGGGGGAAAAGCGAAAAAAAAATCTCAAGACTCGCAAGGTATTTTCGTCTTGCGAAGCAAGCCCATAGGGGAATTCGTCCTGCGAAGCAACTTCAAAACGGAAAACCCTTTCGTCTAGCGGTTTTTCCGTCTTGCGAGGCATTCGTCTTGCGGGGCACCACTGTATTGCATTTCTGTAATAGACCAGGAAAGCAAATACATCATAATAGGCAGCTTAAAAAATGATTAGGCTTTTCCATATTTCTTTACTTTAAAAACGTCACTTGCGGAAAATAAAAATATGCATTTATTTAGTATTTACAACTTACAAGAGTTGCTCCATTGGACAGGTCTACTCAAAGGCAAGCCCCAGTGTTTCAATGGTGCTTACTCCCAAGCACGGAATTGCAGGTGGAAGTTGACATTGGCAAGGTTTCACACACATGATTCAGGCTGCTCAATCTGCAGTTGCACTCTTTCCATAGCATGGGATTTGTATACAGCAAACCTGTCTAGGGTGACTCCCCCCAAAACCGCTGCCCCCCACCGCAACCTAGCTGTGCTTGTCACATAAGGGTGTGTTCTCAATACTGCCTTAAAGTGCAATGATGTTCCCCTCCCCATTTGTTTCACAGCTCCTCACCCCAGCAAGGCTTCCATTGTGTTTTCTGTTTTTGTACACACCAGGGGCAGGAGGGCACTGACAGGGCAGGGGTGTCTTTGCCCTATGCTAAGGTGTTTACCCCTTAAATGGCTAGGTTAGGTATGAACTTAAGACGCCAGTCAGTGGGAAGATGGCTTGAGCGAGAACACACCAGTCTTTAGTAGGTTACAACAAAGTACAGGATATATATGAATTTTGAATAACACCCCACAATCATAGATTACAGAGACAGCACTGGAAACGCAGCAAGTGTGCAGTAAATGGGAACGTGGACACAGCTTATGCCTTGGGCTTTGAGCTTTGCTTGGAGTCTCTGGCTTAAAGCCCAGGACACAAGGCAAAGCTCAGGAAGCCTGTGGCTGGGCAGTTTTGGGTCTTACATAATTGTAATGGACAAGCCTGCAAGTCTTTTTTTGGTTTTTGGTTTTTTTTAATGTAGTTCTGGAATCTTCCATAAGGAAAACCAACTGCAGGAGTATTTGAAGAGGGGAGAAATGTAAATGTTCTCCCTTAATTGAAAGCTGGCTGGTACTACTTAGGGAGAAAGGAATGTCTCCCAGGAGAGCAACATTTGTTATGCCTTTATTAACTGAAGCTTCTGCAGCTGTTTGATGAGAATACCAGACACTATGATTCGGTGACCTAGAAGATGTGTCCTGACTATTAGTTATTGAACACTGAAGGGGCAGTGTATTTAGAGACAAAAATACATTTTCATTATGTTTAAAAGGAAGTACACTAGGAAGTTATTCATTAATCAGTACAGAACACATTCAAGTCCAGAGGCCTTATGCATTTCAAGAAACCCCATTTTTTATACTAGCAAGTGACTTCGAAAGGCTCCCTTTATCCTCTCTAGGATTTGCTTGACTTAGTATTATATGTGGTACGGTTTAGGCCTACTCTCAGCCTGACTCTTTTAACACCTCCAGCTCACTCAGTTAACATCCACTTTCTAGGAGTGGGCAGAATGCATCACATAAAACCATAGATTAAAAACCACCACATAAAACACACTCCAATCTTATGGCCTATTAACCTTCCCACTGTTTATCTTTGTAGAAGAGTCCTTAGTGAAAGGCAACCTTTTCCAAAAACTATTCTGCGTAATACAGAACAGGGTTTCCTGAGTCCATGTCTCTCTTCCAGCACACAGGTTGAAAATACTGTTTTGTATTGTACAGTGGTACCTCAGGTTACATACACTTCAGGTTACATACGCTTCAGGTTACAGACTTCGCTAACCCAGAAATTTTGCTTCAGGATAAGAACAGAACTCGTGCTCTGGCGGTGCGGCGGCAGCAGGAGGCCCCATTAGCTAAAGTGGTGCTTCAGATTAAGTACAGTTTCAGGTTAAGAATGGACCTCTGGAACGAATTAAGTACTTTACCTGATGTACCACTGTATTAAATGGAACTTCATAGTACACGCTTTAAAAAAACACAGCATGACATTTGTTCATAGAATGACAGTAAAAAAACCAACCCCAACATAATTTCTCAAGCATTCTGGAAGCTGTTCCACTTTCATACAACCCTAAACCCAGCTACTATTCAGTAGTCATGAAGGAATTGGGAGAAGAGAGGAGAGATGAAGAGAAGGCAAACAGTACAGATTTATATGTCAAAACAAAAACTTGGATCAGATGCTATTAGATTCTGTGCTAGCATCACACCAGCTAAATGGTACAGTGTCTCATTTGGCACATGTGTGAAGCAGAAGGCAGACAAGCCTTTTCCAGCATGTAGGACGCAGGAGGTTAGCAGCACATTTCTGTGAATATCTGCTCAGAAGTAAGATGCATTAAGATCAGTGAGGCTTCCTCAACATTTAGTGGGTACAGGATTGCAGTCTTAAGTCCCAAGTGAGAAAGGAAACTCTCCATATCCTGAGGCACAGTAGGCTACACTAACAGTTTTGATCTATTTTTAGAGAACATTTTTAAATTGGAAGGAAAACTACTGTTTGCCACACCCCAAAAACACACAAGGAGGAGAAGAAACAGGCTCAGAAAGCACCTTCTCTAAGAGAATGGCCTGGTATGCTTGTCACTTTAAAGTTAAACCATAGTTAAATAAACTAAACTAGGGACGTGTGATCTAAACCACAGAGCCTATGGCTTGCCAATCAGAAGGTCGCCGGTTCGAATCCCCGCGACGGGGTGAGCTCCCATTGCTCGGTCCCTGCTCCTGCCAACCTAGAAGTTCGAAAGCAGGTCAAAGTGCAAGTAGATAAATAGGTACTGCTCCGGCGAGAAGATAAACGACATTTCTGTGTGTTGCTCTGGTTCGCCAGAAGCGGCTTAGTCATGCTGGCCACATGACCCAGAAAAACTGTCTGTGGACAAACGTCAGCTCCCTCGGCCTATAGAACAAGATGAGCGCTGCAACCCCAGAGTCGTCTGCGACTGGACCTAATGGTCAGGGGTCCATTTACCTTTACCTTTATGGTTTAAATGCGAGTGTGCAGCATGCTAGTGCACACTGCTGAAATCCATAGGCCCTTCCCTTCTACTCTACTCCTGCTGCTGCCATACTGCTGGAGACAAGTCATAGTCTTGCTTAGTGTTACAAGCCCCCTTTTTGCTTCAGAGTATATTTATTTATTTTAGTCCTTAATCATCCCACAGTCTACATTCCCTAGGCCAGGCTTTCTCAACCTTGGCCCTCCAGATGTTTTTGGCCTACAACTCCCATGATCCCTAGCTAGCAGGCCCAGTGGTCAGGGATGATGGGAACTGTAGTCTCAAAAACATCTGGAGGGCCGAGGTTGAGGAAGCCTGCTCTAGGCAAACTAAACTTTGCATACATTACAACACTGAATAAATAAAACTGCAAAAATCAGACTTAAGAGTAAACAAAACGTATTACTCACACTGGGAGGGAACAACTTCCTAATAGGACAAAATGCAATGTAAGAACCATTTAAAAAGTCCAACTTTCCTGTATTTGCCAAGGATGATGGATGGAAATCACCATGGCCACTGGCTGGGGATGGTGGAAGCTGCAGGAAGGCAACAGCTTCTCCACTTCTGATCTATGCAAAGCACTTTGTCCCAGGACGTGGTCTGAGGACACAACACACCAACATTGCTGAAGCTATGTGTCTAGGTGTGTCTGTGTCTAGATGAAATGCTGCCTGTGAATTCAATGCACACTGATTGGGTATTCCACTGAAGAAAGAGAAGAGAGAATAAATTCGAGCACACAGGAAAACTGTCCTGGAAATATTTACTCAGCTATCATTGTCATCCACTTGCTCAGGAACTGATGCTTTATAAGTTTTCTGTCATTTTGTTGTTTTGCTTTTACTCTCCTGGTCTGATTTTTATCTGCTGATGTTTCAACTATCATGCTTTTAAGGCTGTTTGCTGCCCATAACATTTTAAATAATTTTGTTATGTAGCAAACTGCTTGGTGTGTCCCCCACAGCAGAAAAGCGAAATGAGAAGTGATGCATTTGATCTAACCTTAAGGAATGACACACATATTACTTTTGAGAGGGATTGATGATGTCAAGACGGTGAAGATGACAAGCACCTAAGACTGAAGAGAAAATCCTAGAGAAGGTGAAATCAACAACAGGAGGACATAACAAGGAGTCCGAAAGTCAGGGAAGTGAGAACTGGAAAATGATGGACTAAAACAACTAAGATGACCCCTTTTGTAGGCCTTGTAGGGCTATATACATGAGCTCTGCTATCTTTCCTACTCCCCAAGGCAGCCCAACATGTTGACAGTTTCCTTTGTAGAAACTGACCGCCATTTCCTCAAAGACATATTCTGCTGTTCCAGGCTAAGGCATTTCCAATGTACTTGGTTTTTCTCCATCAGCAACATAAACTGCAAAGCAACACTTGTGGCTTTCCTGAACTACACAGTAAGAACAAGTGATACTCCTGAAATGTATGCCAGAGATCACAGGAGCTGCCGCAGCTGGAAGCTATAAGCTAACTAGCTCAGCCATAACGTTGGCTGGGCAAATGGATTATTCCTGCAAGGCTGCAACGTTACACATGAGCTCAGCCCAGAAAACCTGGAAGATATCCATTTAAAAACAAACAAACATGCCACTACATCTGTAAAGATGGCACAGTGATCCTAAACTCCTCTTCATTGTTGAAAGTGATCTCCTGCAAGAGGGAGCCAGGCCATGTCTTGTGACTTCAGGCAAATTTCAGACAACATTCATCAGGCATTTTGTAAAAGAAGCCACACTTCATATGCATTTGTACTTACCTCAGCCACCTGTTAATCACCTTGATGTTTATTTTAAAGACAGATGAATGATCCTATCTACAGGCTGTTTGCATAAGCAGCTTATAAATCCCTCTTCTGAATGGCTTCACATGCCCTGATTGTGTGATTATGACAGGCTGGCTGCAGTACATTAAACAGCGCCAAATCTTCTCTAAGGCCATATTCACACCATACATTTAAAGCACTTTGATCCAGTTTTGAACAGTCATGGCTTCCCTCAAAGAATTCTGGGAGCTGTGGTTTGTTAAGGGTGATGAGAGTTAGGAGGCCCCATATCCCCTCAGAACTGCCTCTCTCAGAGTAGTTTAACAACCAATCTCTGTTCATAGGGAACTTGGGGAATTGTAGCTCAGTGGGGAGAACAGGGCTTCCTCACAACCCTGAAGCGCCCTTAGCAAGCAACAGCTCCCAGAATTATCTGAGGGAAACCGTGTTTATTTAAAGTGGCATCAGGGAAGTTTTTAGTGTTTGATGTTGAATTGTGTTTTTACTAATTTTTGTGCGGAGCCACCCAGAGTGGCTAGGGCAACCCAGTCAGATGGTGGCATAGAAATAATAAATTATTATTATTATGACTATTACAAAAGTCAGGCACAGCTCTGCAGTTGGTGTCTTAATCCATATCCCAATTAATGAATGAATGAATTTATTAATACGGTCACAGACCAGCGTCAACACACACAATATCACAGATCATAAAAAAAATATATATATCAGAAATACAGAGGACAATATAAATATAACAAGGATTTAAATATAAAAATTAAAATTAATTATTAGCATGCCCCCTATAATTAACATTTGGGGGTTTGGTCATTATGGGATACCACTTGCTTCCTGCGATTAATTGCAGACACACAGAATTTGGCTACATTTAATGTAGTCTTGGGATTCTTGTCCTCTAACAGTAATTTTAAACTATGGTGTTCCGATTCTTTCCTGGACTTTTGCAAAACAGGTGTAATAAAAGTCAAACGTATATCCTCATAAAAACGACAACGTAATAGTACATGTGAAGCAGTTTCAACTTCCAACGAGCCACAAGGGCAGACCCGTGCTGTGTATGGTTTACCCTCAAATTACCCAATTAATCAAAATCCTAATATTTATTCATTCCTAGGATTTCGGGGGTGTCCCCCCATTCCTATATTATTATTATTATTATTAGGTGTGAATGTGGCCTTACAGGGCAATGCACATGCAGCATACCTATTGAGAAGTGAGCCCCACTAAGATGACTGAGACTTATTCCCAAGTTAATGCAGGTATAGAAGCGTAAGAACTGCTTACTAATAGGGCTATCTTTTATTTATTTATTTGATCATATTTTAATTTCAACCGTCCTACAAAGATGCTCAGGGGCTCTTCCCTCCCTGCTTCATTTCATACTCGCAGCAAGCCTGAGTTAGCGGAGGGAGACCGACCAACCCAGAACGATTTGCAACTCAGTGAGGATTTGGAACTAGATCTGCCTAGTCCTAGTCTAACACTTTAACTGATGCACCAAAATAGTTTGCTCTTTTGGAACCAACCTCAAAGACCCCATGAGAACCAGGACTGCAAGTCTAACCTTTGAGGAGCATAGTTTGCCAATAATGAAAAGCAGAAAGGGAGCTGTCTTACTTTTTCTGTAACCTGCTGCCTTTTCATATATTAAAAATAAACCAGCTTAGCAAAAGGCCAGGTAAAGTCATAGGTGACAGCAGATCTGAAGGAAAGCAAATCCCACTCTCTGTCCAGCCTTTCTCATCCTTGTCATTCTATCTAAAGACAGCAAATCCCATTGGCTATCAGGATGGCATTACAAGTCCCAGGAGGCTTCACATCAGAGGGAAGACATTGGTTATAGCAGCGTCTTGTTTCCTACTTTTCTGTCACATATGCCTCCTCAGTTACATGGAATAAAAAAAGATTAAGATTGTGGCAACAAAAGGAATCAAATGAATATAAAACATTGTCTTTTCATTCACAATTACCACAAAGAGAAAGAGAAAGGAGATCTGGATCCTGTCTATTTAGACTCGATAAAATATTATGACAACATGTAAAAATGGGAGCAGAGTCTATTTTCAGCAAACTGACAGCATGCAGTGTATACACAATAATGTAAAACTGGCTGTATTCTTTTGTCATAAAGGCTTCAGCTGACAGCTTATGCAAGGTAACGGGAATCAGTCAACAAGTCTGTTTACCCTTAGACTGCATATAAATGTTATGAAATGTAAAGCTTGCAAAGGTCTGGCAGAAGACAGACAGCGCTATTGTGGTCAGAAAGCCACGTCTCACACCTACGGTAACCACAGAACGGGTTAATGTTAAAGAAAACCAAGATAGGTCAGAATTGAGGGTATTGGTTCCCAGTGGAAGCGGAACTTCCTTTTCCTGTTCTGCAAGCAGAGAGTTTAAGAGTCAAGGAACATAGTGAAATTAAGTCAAACTTGGTTCTCCTGACTCCCAAAGAGCAGTGCTGGTTGGAACAAGAGAGGATCTTCTAGCCAAGGCAGAGAAACTGGCAATGATCAGGCTGCTTCCTTGGGGGGGGGGGGGAGAGTACAGTTAAGCCCAGTCTTGAGCTGCTTTTCTGTTGTCAAGAGTGGAACAAAGGGAGCTGGAGCGAAGGAGAAGAGCCTCCCTTGGCATCTTTGTGCTAACAGATAAAAAGCACTTTTAGACATAACCCTCTAGAAATCTAGTCATAGGGAAATGGAGGGGGCAGGAAAGGGCAGGGCAAGGTAATATCTGAATTTCTTCTCATCGCCCTGAAAACATCACCACCATCATCAAAATGAGACGCAGAGGCAATTGCTCTTATCTGCACTATAATTTCTCCACCTTCGAAGTATGAAACAGCAGGAAGGGAATTGCTGACACACAATGAGTCCACATCTAGTAAGTGGTTCATGAATGATGAGTAGGCAGCAGCTCAAAGCATGTACTGACAGCCTTCAATACATTTTAAACCATGCAAACTCAGCCCTCCAGATGTGTTGGGACTACAACTCCCATCATTCCTGTCCTGTTAGCTAGGGATGATAGGAGTTGTAGTTCCTATACATCTGGAGGGCCGAGTTTGACTATGCCTGTTTTAAACACAATCAGTATTACAGAGGATTTAAATTTTTAAGTGGCATTTGTAGTAGAAAAACTTAAGAACCTTGCTAGATTGGACCAAAGGTCCGTCTAGTCCTGTTCCCAACATAGCCAGCTTCCCAAGAGCTCATGGTGGCCAATATGGATGGGGGTGATCTCACTTTTATCTTCACAAGAATCCTGTGTAGTAGGCTCAATTGAGAGACAATGGTTGGCCCCCAGCCACTCAGGGCGGTTCACATTGGCATGGAGATTTGAACTCTTTCTGGACAGAGTTGAATCACGACTCCACACTGGCTATAGTGCACTTCACATTGGGTCAAATCTAACCTAAGTTAGTCCCACTGAGGTCCCACTAACATCAATGTAAAAAGTCAGTCATGACTTCAGTTTAAGTTCCACTGAAATAATGGGAACCAAATGCAACTAACTTGGGGTACAAGACTATATACACTTCCTTGGGGGTAAATCCCACAGAACTCAATGGAACTTGCTTCTGAGTAGACATGTATAAGATGGGATCCAGATGTGCAGTCTAATCCTATGTCACACAAATGATTTGCCTTTTGAAAACTCTCCAGTTAAAAAGGCCATAATTTTACTTCCAATGTTTAGTTGCTGCTTCCCAACACTCAAATCTCCAAAGCAGCTAACAGAAAACATCATAAAAACTCAATGACAAAAGGCTATTTAAGAAATCAGCGCAACAAAATAAGCAGCAGCAGTCAGCAAAACAATTTCTAAAACAGCCACAGGAACAGCAGCCAGTAAAACAAACAGATCAGCAGGGACAACAAATTCAGTTAAAAGCTTTGGAAAACAAAAAAGGTCTTAAACCAGCACTGAGCAAGATAGCAACAAAGGTACCTACCAGAACTGACTGGGAAAGGCATTCCGAAAACACACCTTTCTGGCCTTTCAGCTGCCTGTTGAAACGTTTCTGTCTAGCACATACATCTGAAACAATACACTTTCCTTTCCTTTTTATTTTTTACCCTGCCCCCACTTCCTCCCATTTCTCTGTTGCTTCCTCCTTGTTGAATTTTAGTTTGCAACCTCTTTGGGTCAGGTGGTGCTATATAAATAAAATAAAATCCAGTTGAAAAGAACATAGAATCCCACTACCTTTAGAAGGGTGGGGGAAAACAGAGAGCCTGGACTTAACACCTAGGTAGGAATTAGGGTTGGAGGGAGAGATTAGATTCCATTCATGCTGAAAGGCAAACCTACTTAATTTGCACTTCCCAAAATGCACGAACAGAAACACAGCCAATCTTTGAAATTCGCTCTTATCTGAATTTTGCAATGCAGTTCTCCAGCCAAGGAATGTGTACAGCATGTAGTAGGGTAAAGTGTGCATAAAAATACACATATTGGTGAAAATACGATACAAAAATGCATTATATTAGGGGGAATTGCTTTGCAACAATGTGTACATTAGGCAAAAATGCATAGAAACATTTGTATATTAAGAGAAATTCACTGATGAATTTTCACGGGGACTTAAAAAAACAAACCCCAACAACCCCACACTGTACATGGAAATGGGGAGAACTGGACTTAAAAGTAGGAAAAAAATTGAAACTTGGAGGAACTGACAAATTCCCCCATCCTTGGCAGGAAAAGCCAATCACAGACACTTTGGCTGTAAAAGCTCAAGAGGTTTCAAAACTGCTGTAAACTCTGTGAACCAATATAAGGCTATTTTAATCCAGAGAGATCCAGGTGTCTCTCTCAGTAGCTGTGAGATCATATTTAAACCAGAGAATCAAAGCGTTTGATGGGTGCAAGTGGTAGTTTCTTCTCAAATCACTTATAAGGGCAGAATTTGCCATGCATTAGCCCAGGCACTCCAAACTCGGCCCTCCAGATGTTTTGGGACTATAATCCCCATCATCCCTAACCACTGGTCCTGTTAGCTGGGGATGATGGGAGCTGTAGTCCCAAAACATCTGGAGGACTGAGTTTGGGGGTGCCTGCATTAGCCCAAGCCCACAAATATCTAATTCCCATCTACCAGATACTACTGTGCCAGAAGGGAAAAAACCCCAGGAATGAATAAGCAGCACGGAGAGAGAGTTGCTGGCTGCAAGCAAAGATTTAAGTAAACTAAGCCTAAATGACATACTGTCAATCACTATACCATGTTCAGTGTTTGCAAGCATGTGTGTGTCAGTAAAGGAAGGAGAGTCAGTTTTGTTACCATCTCTTACTCATAGTATGTTATCTAACCAACAAATCACTGCCTGGTGCGGTGCATGTGATCATATTGTATCAGAGCACTGTCTTGGGGTCAATGGGGGATGCACAGACACTTGAGAAAACTCTTTAAGCTGTTGTCACCTCATGGAAGGCAGTGATTTATAGCCTGGCTGGGGATGGTTATTATACAAAGAGATCAATTTGCACAAAAGAAAGAGAGGAATTTCTATGAAGTCAACGTTTCGAAAAAGCACTGGCCTTTTAAGGAAATGTCTGTTAAAAGCTTCTCAACATCTTTATTGCCATACAGTTTTTGCAGTGTCTGAAGAGATCTGATCTGAAAAGCCCCAAGACTCTGGATGATTAGGGTCAAGCAGCCTACAGAAGGCCACTGCGAGAGAATTATTCGGGAGCGATTTTGCATTTCATTAGATGAACTATTGAAAATTCAACGTTTGGACTTGAGTGCTAGAAACTATGCAAACCAGGCTTGGTGGCATTCCACTTATGGCCAACTTCTCCAAAAACCATACTTAAGCTTTGGTGGGCCTTTAACGGAAGACAATTCCAGAAGAAAACAAATTGAGAATGCTTCCTTGCAAGCCAGTGTTGTGCTGGGGATCAGACAGAAGAGTGCTGTTAGCTGCCCGCCATATTACAGAGACTCAATTGGCCTCCATTAGAAGTCAGGCATTTGGTGCTGTTGGTTCCACTTTCCCAGCAGAGATTCAGCAGCCATTCCTGCTTTTGACTTTCAGCCATCTCTTGAAGGCCTTTTCACAAAAACAGGCATTTGCTGTTGTTTTGACTGATCGGCCAAACCCTTTAATTATTATTTGTATTGTTTTTAAATAGTGTTTTATGTCTTACTGTTTTGCACCACCCTGATTTTTTATGATAAACCAGGTCAGAAATATGGCTTTACAGAAAATTGGCACATGGGGCTTTCTCCTGCTTGCTTGGAGTTCCTTCTGCCTCCACCCTCCTCTCCTGTTTTCTTGCCACCACACCAGCAGAGACCCAGGAGCATGGCACTGAACAGCTGCCTTGACTACCAAACTGCTTTTCATCGGCCCCATTTTTGAAGGCTCAAACTTTGCTGCTGCCTTATTCCCCCGTTTTTGTTTTTTTTTAAATGATATTTATTGGAAATTTTTAGAATTACAAAAGAGAACAAAGCAGAATAAGAGAAAGAAAAAACAAAGAAAAAACAAACCACATCAAACAATACAAATTCAAAAAACAAAAATACACCACAAACACTCAATAACAAATCCATCATTCTCAAATCCTCAACTGTCATTACCTTCTTTCTTTGACCTCCTCCTCCTCCCTTTTTTGTATCCTAGTTGTTAATTGTCGCAGCAAATCCTTTCCATATTTCATAATATTCTGTCATTACATTACCTTAATCTATTTTAATCTTATCTTACTATAAAGAACCTTAAAGCTTAAAACTTAAATCTTATTTTTACCAACTTCTCATAACCATAATATTCTTACATAATTCTTTAAACATTTTTGCTAAAGCCAAGTAATTTCGTTCCAACATTTTTCTAACATTCATCAATTTTATAAAACAATCCTAGTAGTAAAAAAAAGAAATAAAAACAATCCAGTCTTCATCCAGCATCCCTTCCTCCTGGTCCCGGGTTTTGTCAGTCCTTATTATCCCATCGATCTAGCGCATTAACCTGGTAACCTTGTATGCGAGGCCCTTAAGTCTCTTCCATGTCCCTTCCGCAGCTCTTCTTCATATTCCCCCGTTATTTTAAAAGGTTCATTGTACAGGGCATTATTTGTTGCTGGTGTGCCAGTCAGGTTTCTTTGTGTCTCCCCTTCTTTGCTATGGCTAACCTGTTAACAACGAATTACTGTGTAGTCTTTATATTCTAAAGAGCTATAAGAATGTATTACAGTGGTACCTCTGGTTACGTACTTAATTTGTTCCGGAGGTCGGTTCTTAACCTGAAACTGCTCTTAACCTGAAGCACCACTTTAGCTAATGGGGCCTCCCGCTGCCGCCGCGCCGCCAGAGCACGATTTCTGTTCTCATCCTGAAGCATTTTCAAGTTCAAGTTTATTGCGGCCAAAGCCAGTGACACTAAACACCATAAGATCAGACAACAAGAAAACAGCAACAACTTCAGAAAAGAAAAAAGGTTACACAAGAGAACTTCACAGTGTGCCATTCAACAGAAGAGATTTACGCTTCTTAATTACTAAAGTGCAAAATTTAGCCACCTCATATGATACTGAGCTTGAGGAATCTTCCAGGAGGTATTTTCGAAGAATTTCAGGGAGGATTCCAAATAATATTGAAGGGGTATAAATTTTGATAGAAGTGGTAAAATAAGTTGAACTCGTTCTTCACTATAGAATTCGCAAGATAGAAGAATGTGTGTGACAGATTCTACCTTATTAGACATACAAGGGCAGAGACGCGCATGCATTGGAACTCGCGTGAATTTGCCGTACAGCACTGCTGAGGGCATTGTCTCAAAGCGGGCTCTAGAGAAAGCCCATCTATAGGTTTCGTTAGTGATGTTAGTTAAGTAAGGGGCAGCTGCAAAATTAGGCCAAGCTTTTAAACATCTATACGTCTCTGGGAGTAGGGCGCCTTCTTGTTGTAATTCGATATCATAAAGTCTCTGAGTGATAGTAGCTTGGCCTTGTTCAGAGTTCCAATAAAAATATTTTCAGGGTTTAGGCCAATTTGTTTGATCTTGTTAGTTATTTGCATAAGCCAAGGAGGATAGGGAACTGCAGCCAGGAAGCAAGGTAATAGACCCTTAGGATTGTAATGGATTTTCAGCCAGAGGGATATTGCTTGTTCCCAGACTTTTAATTCCACTCTGGGCAGTCCTGCCTCTTGCCTTAAGACTGCATTAGGTGTACACTTAGGAGTAGCAAATAATGATCTTAAGAATTTAGATTGTACTGTTTCAAAGGTCTTAAGGTTGGCAGAGGGGCTAATTTGAGAGCCATATAGAAGTTGGGCTAAAGATTTTGCCTGAAAGACTGTTAGGGCCATCGGGAGGAAGCCAGCTCCTTTCCTTCTGAATAATCTAAGGATAGCATTTGCACTTCTTTCTGCTGATATAGCTGATGTGGTCAAGTGTGTTGAGAATTTGGCATTATAAGAGAAAGTAATGCCTAAGTATTGGAAGGTCTTAGTCTGTTCAATGGCGTTTCCCTTTACGCTCCAATTATCCTTCCTAAAGGAGCGGTTAAAATGTACAATTTTGGTTTTGGCAAAGTTAATTGTTAACAGTTCAGTGTTACATTGGTCACTAAACTTTCCTAAGGCACGTTTCAGACCCACTTTGGTTTGAGAGAGAAGAACAGCGTCATCCGCATACATTAGAATTGGTACTTTTCTGCCATTAGAGAACACAGGGGGGTGGGTTTCAATTTCACGGCAGCATGTAACCAGGGAGTTAACATAGATATTAAATAGGAATGGGGCTAATAGGCATCCTTGTCTAACTCCTCTTTGGACTAAGATTTCTCTAGAGAGTCTGCCGTCCTGTGCGAGTCTTATCTGGAGGGTATTGTTCTCATGAAGCTTAATCATCAGAAGTAATAACCTTCTGTTAATACCCATATTGGCCAATTTGGCCCAGAGCCTGCTCCTGGATACAGAATCAAATGCTGCCTTTAAGTCCACAAAGGCCGCATATAATGACTTTTTCCAATATTTCGCATACTTATAGACAAAGTAATCTAACACTAAGCAGTGATCAATGGTGGAACGTCCGGATGTAAACCCTGCTTGTTCAATTTCTAACAAGTTATTATGATCTAACCATTCCCATAATTTTAGGCATAGATGTTTTGTATAAAGTTTACAGATCACGTTCAGGAGACTAATTGGTCTATAATTAGATGGATCAGAGGGGTTGCCCTTTTTAAATATGGGAACAATTATAGCTAGTCCCCAATCTTTAGGGATTTCAGTTGTCTTATCTATATATGAAAATAGATTAGCAAGGACTGGGGCCCACCAGTTTATTTGCGCTTTCAGAAGTTCAGCGACAATGAAATCACTTCCTGGGGCTTTGCCAGATTTCATTTGTAGAATTAGCGAAGTGATTTCAGTTTCAGATGTTGGGGGCCATGGTGTATCATTATCTAAGGGGATGTTAAGCGGCGCAGAAGGACGATGTTCCCTAAACAGCACTTTATAGTGCTCTTCCCATGAATTCATCCTGAAGCAAAGTTCTTAACCTGAAGCACTATTTCTGGGTTAGCGGAGTCTGTAACCTGGAGCGTATGTAACCCGAGGTACCACTGTATGAGTGGTGGGGAACCTGTAGTTGGGAAAGGCCAAGACAGAGTGCCAGGCTGGGGGCCCAAACCTCAACTCAGTGGGTGACATTGGGCAAGTCACTGTCTCACACGGCCTGTGATTTGCCTCACAGGGTCCGTCTGCAGAAAAGAAAGGAGGAACACATTGACAATATTCAGCTAGATGGACCAATGGTCGGACAACATAATGCAGCTTCCTTCATTCCTACAAAAATCCATGTAAACCACCTAAGCTTCTTGGGTCAAGGGGAAAGATGGTATTAAAATACAATCAAGAAATACCTTAAAAGCTGCAGTTAACAGCAATCATGCTGATTACCTGAGTTAAGTTTGCTTCCTTGATCCTCCAAGACTACTATGGACAAAGCACCGTCAAAGGAATTCTCTCCCTCAGGTTTGTCACCTATTCATTAGGGCTTCCCCTCCTCAGCAAGCGTTGTTCCTACTGCTGTATCACTGCAATAAAGGCCCTGCTTTAGTTACCCAACAATTCACCAGTTTGTTTGCAGACTCCGGATTCCTGGAGTGTGTGTGTGTGTGTGTGTGCATGGTTCCATAGCTGGCTCTTTGTACTTGCGCTGTTACTCTGTGCTAGATAAGCGCAGGGAGTGGGGATTACCAGTTTCCTCTGCGTTTTCAAATCCCTTTTGTTTTTTCTCTTGACCTACGCACTTATGCAACCTCCCTTCTCATACCGACACTGGAGACCATGCCCTTGTCCACAGTATCAGGAGCTCCTGCTGCTTAATTTGCTCGTGCTAGTCTTATCTGTGGTGACCACTCCTTGGTAAGATTTCGGCATGGAGCCACCTTACCCTCCCTCAGAAAAATGGGCCTGCCTGCTCTTGTTTCCCCTGAGTGGTCTTGCTCAGCTGGCAACAGCTGCCCTCTTTGGGCACTTGCGGGTCACTCCGGCCTTGATATGATTGGCAGTTGTCCATGTCAAAATGCAACTTGACATCTCACTCGAGAAAGGCGCTGGCAAGAAGGCAAAATACCACTAAACAGCACAGGACAATTTGTAGACGAGATGTTCAAAACACATTTCTCCCCTCTCCCCAATGATCCTGGAAACTGTAATTTCTGAAGGTTGTTCCCTTCAGGTGGGGGAATGTGCCTTGAATATATGGTGTGTACACAGCCAGAGAGTGTGTGTGTTTGTGTCACCTAGCCATAAGTGGTTTGTTTCATGCTTCTGAAAGAGCATCCTCTTTAATGTGCAACTGCCACCAAAAGGTGTGCTGGTCGAGAGAAGCAGCTACAGTGGTACCTCAGGTTAAGAACGTAATTCGTTCTGGAGGTCCGTTCTTAACCTGAAACTGTTCTTAACCTGAAGCACCACTTTAGCTAATGGGGCCTCCTGCTGCCGCCGTGCCACCGGAGCACTATTTCTGTTCTCATTCTGAAGCAAAGTTCTTAACCTGAAGCATTATTTCTGGGTTAGCAGAGTCTGTAACCTGAAGTGTATGTAACCTGAGGTACCACTGTATGCCCAACTCTAAATATGTTTACTCAAGTCCCGCCAAGCTCAACAGGATTTGTTCCTTAATAAGTGTGCATTGCTGTAATGAGGTCGTGATCATGTGCATAATTACTTGGAAGCAAGTCCTGTGGAACTCAGGGAGACTTACTTTTGAGTGAGCTTGCAAAGGCTGCACAACTTAGGCACACCTACCTGAGAGTAAGCCCCACTGAACTCAACAGGACTTACTTCCCGACTTATTCTCTCCAGCTCGTCTCAGCAAGGCAAAAAGCAGGAAGGTCTCTTTGAAAAGAAAAGAACCAGCTCTCTCTCTCATTTACAGAGCTCTCTCCTCCTCCAAACTACCCCCCACTTTTGGTGCTGCTGCCAAGATAAACACACACTACATCCTGATTCAATCACGAAGTTATCAACACTCTGCTTTCCTACCAACATTACATGAACCAGGTAAAAAGGCAGCAAGGGAGCCTTGCAACATCCTTTCAACTGCTGCACATTTGCTCTGAGCAAAGGCTGACATTTCTTAGAGCTGGAAGGAATCTGGCTTCCAAGCCTCAGTAAAATGTGTACAATCCAAGGAATGACATCAGAAGCAACTCCACCAGTCAGGCACACAACACCTATTAATGGGTTCAAGGCCATTATTACTTCTCATCCTTACTTTAAACGCTTCAACTGAAACCTTTTTGAGCTGAGGTTCAAGGAGCTTGCTAACCTTGCAAATAAATTAACAGAATGAACTAGTCTTCAGAGGGTTTTAATAGTGATCCTGTCTTCTACATACCCATGTTAGACAAGCCACAAAGGAAGCAACTCTCTTCCCATTCACAGAAATGAGATTGCCCAATCACTGGGGTGCGGGTGGGGAAGAATCTCATTCCCCATGGGTGACAAGAAAAATGGCTTCTTGCAAGCCTGACCCAACTGTGGAACAGTTACAATCAGTTCTGGCACTCCAATTACTGGATGCATTTTTTGAAATGAGTAGGCCAGCCAAGGAAACTTATTAGCCAGTCAAGAGACGAGCTTCCTGCCTTTCAGTGTCTCATGAGAGGGGAGCAGGGGTGTTCTTCATGACCAGGCATGGAAATGGAGCTTATGCTTGTAAACAGTGTCCTTCTAACAAGGGGACTGGTGGAGAAGGCATGATCTATCCCCCGCTCTGTCAGTCTGTCTTGGTATGAGGCAGCTTCCTATGAATTCTTGGCCATCATTGAATTCCTGGCCACCATAGACTACAAAGCAAGTGCTATTGTGAAGTCGGATTAAGCAAGGCTTCCTGTTCTACTAAAAAAGCAGTGACCCCCCCTTCCCCCCTCACAGCACTCCACATGACCAGTGAATTTCTGGTCTTAATTCCCCCAAAGATTTGGGACACTTGGAAACCAGAGATCCACATCCTTTTTGACTTCATCCTGTTGCATTTTGCTCCTTGACAAACCCATCCTCAACTGCGACCAGGGGTATAGTGTGGAGGGGGCCAGGGGGCCATAGCCCCGGGCACGTGATTTTCAGGGGGCGTGAACCAGGCACCCCCATGCAGGGATCCCTGTCCCACCCTGTGTGCCACTGGGGATTTCTGGGCCCCGGAACCCGGCCTGGCCCTGATTTGTATAGTGTATATAGGTCAGGTTAGATTTTCAGTACAAAATATACAGTGGTGCCTCGCAAGACGAAATTAATTCGTTCTGCGAGTTTTTTCGTCTTGCGAATTTTTCGTCTTGCGAAGCACGGTTTCCCATAGGAATGCATTGAAAATCCAAAAGGAAACAAACTTGCAAGACGTTTTCGCCTTGCGAAGCCCATAGGGAAATTCGTCTTGCGAAGCAACTCAAAAAACGAAAAACTCTTTCGTCTTGCGAGTTTTTCGCCTTGCGAGGCATTCGTCTTGCGAGGTACCACTGTACACAGTTTTGGTCTGAGTATGAGCTTCTGTCTCTGTTGATACATATTGAACTAAGATGGGCAATGCCTAGATAGGAGCATCTATGACTGCTGGTGTGAATGGCTGCTTAACTGAATTTGTTGCAGACTGTATACTTTTTTGCATCCGAATGTGTCTATCACACACATGCACACCTAATTGCCAATTGAGGGTAATGCTCCATACATCTGATGAAGTGGACTCTGCAGGCCAGAAAAGCTGATGCCACAAAAAATGTATTGATCTTGAAGGTACGACGTTGGTTTTGCTGCAACAGACTTAACACAGATACCATTCCAGAAGCTGGACTAGGACTGATTTAGCCAGCAATCCTAACCATTCTCCGATCAAAACCTGCCTTTCCTGAACCTTTAAAACAAAAGAACAGCCAATGCATTTGTCTGAGATGGTCTCCCCATTTTCCCATGCTGAAATGGAGATGAACTTCTAATCAGATCTGGCATTTCTGGTTGCTGAATTCTGAACTGAGGTTTTCAATTATTAGGTCAACAACAATCTTACAAAATAAGAGCAAAAGCTTTCAGGTTTTCCAAAACTCTTCACCAGGCTAAATTAAAACAAAGCAAAGTGGAAGGAACTCGTGGAAGACATCATGAATCTGCATCTGGTCAGAGTCTTATGGCAGAATGTGGGCAGAAGGAGGAGATGTTCGAATAAGGATGTTAGCTCCCTCCTCCCACATTGGGCCATAAGACTCTGACCAGATGCAGACTCATGGCATGACTGCCAGCTCAGCTTCTCCCTTTTCCCTAAGCCACTTTCTTAGCCATCCAGCCTGATGGAAGAATTTTTTTAAAACTCAAAAGCTTGCACATTATTTCACAAGATGAGTTTAATAAAGGGTATTGTCCTAAAATAGATTTTGGATATTTCATCACGGTCCAAAAAAGCTACCTTTACTTTTTTTGTTAACAATCTACTTCCTCAGCAACTCTTATTACTTTCAGCTGCCAATTCCCCAGAAGCTCCCAAATGTCTCCGTGCAGCTTCTTATCTATGAATTTGCCACGATGAGCAGATATCTAAGGACCACGATACTAGCGGTACCAGCTCCCTTCTCTTCCTTCTCCTCCATCACTAGCTGTGGCTAAACATCAGCAGTTAGGGGCCTCTGAGCTCCCACCTCAAGAGTCATGTGGAAGTGATTCAACCTCTCCCACAGCAGATGAAGGATAACCGTGATGTGGGGGGTGGGGTGGGGAGAAAGAAATACTCAGCACAGAGGGCTTTCTCTGAAAAGGCTGCTGTTTGTTATTTCTGGAGTAACTTTTGAGAAAGGCATTCTGTAAACACCGTGCCATAAAACAAATAGGAGCTCCATTATCTTGTGCCGACAGACCAGAGCTTGAGGGGTGTATTTAACAGAGAAATGCCTTGTACCGGAACCAGAGCAATGTTTAGCAGCTGCTGCTGGAGCTTATGAAAGTAACGCTGCTTGTTTAGTTTCTCTGGCACAGCCAACAACGTCTGCGCAGGTAGGGTCTTGGCACTGCCCCAGCTCTCGCCTGGGGAAGACAAAGCGAGGACTAAACCTCAGCTCCACACAGACATCATCCCGCCAGGGGCAGGGCTGCCTTGTTGTCATAACGGAGAGGAACACGGGACTGCCGCTCTCCATCCTGCAAGCAAACAGATTGCCGGGTGGAGAGAACCCATCCCAAGCAAACTTGCCATGCCGATGGAACACAACAACAAAAGGTAGCAAAATCATCATTGTGCCAACACCAGCGTTCATTCTTACGATGGGAAACCAGGGAAAGCTTCAAACCTAGCATGCTGGGTAATGAATACTAATGAATTTCTGTAGTGGTCCTGCTGCCAGACTAAACAGCATGTTTCCACATGTGCAGGCGTGCACACACACAAAACTGTGGAGAAACACAACTGCTGTGGGATTTGAAAGGTGACTATGACCCCATTCAGAAATGACAAGGTGAAGTTTCCACAAATCGAGTGGGTGTAGAACAGGAGTAGGGAACCTCAAGCCAGGGGATGGGGTGGGGCAGATGCAGCTTTCTAGGCCAAACCTGCTTTCCCCAGGATACACCTCCTCACCAGTCCAGCCTCTTGACTTCCCCAAGTGCCTTTGCCTGGCTGAAATGTGTCCTTAAACTGCTCGCCTAGCCGGTGCATGGAGAGAAGTGTGTGGGGTGTATACATGGGTGACTATGCAGAAGCCTCTGACTTCTGCTTGGCTGGAATGCAGCCTACTGTGCTAAAGGTATGGATCATATCCACCCTTTGACCAGTTTTTGCCACTGGCATGCCACCCTCTGGGAGGTTCACCGTGATGGAATGTGGTCCTCTCGAAAAAGGTCCTCCACCCCACCTTCGTATAAAAGCCACGGGGATGAACCAGCATGGTGAGCAGAAAGTTGGATTAGAAAAAGGGGGACTCGGGTTCAAATGCCCACTCATGGCCTATTGTTTTCTCGCAACACTCTCAGTCTGATCTAGCTCAAAGCCTTGCTCTGGGGACAAAATGGGGAGAGAAAAGAACTACGTATGAGATACTTGGGGGGAGGGCAAGATAAAAATGCAGCAACAATAAATGCAAAGGTAACAGATAAAGCCACTGCAGCTGAAGGTATTGTGAAACAGCAAGTCACTGACTACTGGGCTCGTGGCAAAGATATGTTTATTTACAAACTTCTTGTCCGGGTTTAATGCTGGCTTGGTGCTACGAGCTTTGCTCGGGTTCTAAATCATTTCACAAAGACCATGATGTTGTTCAACCACAGAGTACAGGGTTAGCTCCAGAGGCCCTATGTAGAACATTTGCATCAGACACAAAGCAAACTCATTTGACCTGGTAGGGTAAGTAGTTTGGGATAGTGGTGGCCTGAGAGAGGCCATTCTCCATGGCAGCCCCTAAGCTGTGGAATTCCCTTCCCTAGAGAGATTCTCCTGACACCATCACTATGCAGCTTTCTGCAAAAGGCTGTGTCTTAGTGTAGGCCCAGGTCATAAAGCCTGAGCTTCCACAGCCGCCGCCTGCCATGAACCATCATTGGGACAATTTGCAGCAACGGCAGCAGGTATGTTCTATACTTGTGATAATATTTTAACCTCTTGTTAATTATGCTGCTTTACATGTGCATTCTATATCTGACTTCCTTTAGTAACGTTTTCTTTTGAAGTGTTTAGGATAATTGCTTTTTTGTTAACTTTGCTACGCTAAATGTGCATTCTGTACCTGACCTCCTTTGTAATGTTTTATTTTGAAATCTTTTAAGATAATATTTTAGTTCCCTGTTAAACATGTTGCTTTGAATGTATACTTTTTATTTGACTTTGCAACATTTTATTCTGGATTGTTTAATTTGATGTTTTAATTTAGGCTATAAATGGCTTTGAATATATTCCCCTTAAAAACAGAAAGCTGTAAAATGAACAGTAATAATAACAATAAAATGCTGAAAGCACACCTCTTTACCTTTGACACTTGAGAAGTGTGTGTTCGGGACCCACCCTATTCCCATGACTGTAATTTATTCTAACTAGTTTTAATATCGAATTCTTGTAAACTGCCCTGCAACTTGGCGTTGGTGAAGGACAGGCAATACATTTATTGATGTTATTAATATTAATGATTAAAGGTGCTTCTTCCTACAGAGTTATCCTAGGTAAGCGCACAAGTATGCTCACTTTGTAGGGCCTATCCCAACTCTGAGAATGGGAAGGGAGGAAAAAGGTCAAACGTGTTTGCTTTTGACCCAGAAAAATTCAAGGCAGGGAATATTTGTTCTCACTTGAGGGCTTTCCTCCCTGCACGCCCTGAGCCAGCCAAAGCACTTATAATCGGCTAGCCTGCCTCATGAAACCTCACATTTATTATGGGAACGCTGATAAAAACCCTTTCTGCAATGCTATTGTCAAGATTGTAAACAGCACGGTTGCATAACGTTAGTGGCCAACATACAACTGCCTCCACCTCTTCACCAGCTCTGGAATGTGCAAGTGAGACTCATTGGAAAAATATGTCCCCATTGCTGTGCCATTCAAGGAAGGAAATATAGGATTGTGCTTCTCTGGGCATTTGCAATGTATTTACACCCATGACCAGTTCCCTAGGATGACAAGTGTTTATTTATCTGTACCCAACTCTGTCCCTGGACAGGGAAGTTTACAGCAATTTCATCACTGTCCAAAGAGCTCTCAATCTAAACAGGTTTCTATCCCTCCACTCTCATTTGGGATTATGCTACTAATCCCAACAGCTTCCCTTGAAACTCTTTTTCCTCCCACCAGGACTTTTTTCTTTTCTTATTTGCATCCTTTATTCATACAAACTGGAAGTTTCCTCTTGAAACAGTTTCCCTTGTGGGAAAGTTTGCCCAGCTAAAGGTACTTTTTCTCTCTCCAGAGATCTCCCGCTCTGGTTGGACCTGTAAGGTCAAGAAAGATGCTATAGGATCGAGTTCTAAAGCTGCAAAGCTATGAGCACTCACTTGGAGAAAGTCCCATCAATATAAATAAATAAATATATAATAATGATCATTTTATTGGTGCTTTCTGTTGATATATGCATGCATCTGGCTGCAGTGGTGCCAAACTACACACTACATTACATGCATGGGTTGCACTTGTGCCATCAAAATGAGCAGTCAAATGGTGGGGGAAAGATCCGGACAAGGGCCATGGGGGGGGCCCAAAATGGAAGCACTTAATCCTTCCCCTCCCTGTTTTGTGATGTATTTGCCCTGGGGCGGGGGAGGGGGAGCTGCTAACTGCACCAGTACCAGTTTCCTTCCCCTTGTAAACAGCACCTGAGGGAGCAATTTTCACCAGGACCATAATGTGCAGGAGGGGGTTAACTCCCTCCTGCTCTCGTAAGTGGTGCCATCAAGGCAGGACTTTGGGGCAAAAGACCAGGTCTCCATTCAGCAGAATAATCAGGAAGGCCCCCTAATGCAGAAGTAAGCCAAATAGTTGTTCTTGTTTAGTCATTTAGTCATGTCCGACTCTTTGTGACCCCATGGACCAGAGCACACCAGGCACTCCTGTCTTCCACTGCCTCCCGCAGCTTGGTCAAACTCATGTTAGTAGCTTCGACAATACTGTCCAACCAAAGCCAAATAGTATACATTCCCATCTAAAGAGAGAGTGTCCCCCCCGCCCCAAATAAGATCATCATGCCCTGAGCCTAGAATTCCCTATCCACAGCATGGTCCCAAATCAGATTGCCCCACAAAGCTCCTTTTCCCCTCCCAGTTACAAAAAATACTCAAGTGCAAAACACGCATTCAACACAGCATGCCCCACAGCACTGTATCAAGACCTCCCTCTCGATAAAGCCATTGTGCTTCGCTTTTATTTCCTTTTCTCATTTCTGAACTTCCTTGGTGGCCACCGACTGCTAAGGAAGGGGATCAGATGCTATACTTCTTTCCCCAGCTGGTTAGCAGCTGCCCTACTTCTCTTAGCAAGAGGAATATGCTGCTAAGCCAGACTGTCCTCTGCAAAGACAGCATCCTTCAATCTCCTGGATAGGCAACAGCATGCAATAACGACCGCTACTTACCGTATTTTTCGCACCATAAGACGCACTTTTTTCCTCTTAAAATCTAAGGGGAAATTTCTGTGCGTCTTATGGAGGGAATGTGTGACCCCTGGGGCTGGGGGGGGGAACCTGGGCTTCCCCCACCAGCCCCAACCTGCTCTTTGGGGATGGGGGTGAGGGAAAGCTGGGCTTCCCCCACCAGCCCCGTCAAACTCCTGAGCAGCTTTGGGGTAGCCCGCAAAGCCTCCGCAGGGCAGCAGGGAGCCTTCATCCCGCTGCCCTGGGGAGGCTTCGCGTGGCTATCCCTGGCTTTTGCGGGAGGTGGGGGAAGGGACAGAGCGTGGCTCTCTCACTTCCCCCACCTCCCGCAAAAGCCCCCAAGAGCCGCATTATTTTTTTCTTGAATTCTCCCCCCAAAAAGTAGGTGCGCCTTATGGACAGGTGTGCCTTATGAAGTGAAAAATACGGTACTTCTGAGTGTCATTATTACTCACATATGAGGCAGGGAAATGCACACATGTTCAAGAGACAAGGTTCATCCATTTACAGAGTATCATCTCTAATCAGGGGAGGGGAGAGGTAAAAGAGGAAGGATTAAAAGAGCAACACCAAGTAACATCAAGATTTCCAGACGGCAAAAGTAAGGATGGCTTCCACTCCAGAGGAGAAGCAATTATTTACAGCACCATCCAAGACATGGTCTTTGAGTTAAAAATCAATTCCCACTGATTTCCAGGTTAACAAATCTGTGGATTGGGGTGAAAGCACTCAGGTGCAGGTAAATAAAGCCAGACATTTGTCAATGAGGAAGGGAGAGCACTATAAATGTTGGTTACAGGTACAATGGAGAATTTATTTGCCACTTTATGATCCCTATCCAGAGTGTGTTGCAACCGGAGCAATATATTCAGTGTTTGTTTAACTCAAAAATAATGGTCATTTAATTATTTAGCATTTAGTTCAAGTAAGTGTGCACAGGACTGCAAAATAATAGCACAACCCTATGCAAGTTTATTCAGAGATATGTCCTACTGTGTTCAGCGAGGCTTACTACTCCCAAGTAAGTGTGCATTAAACTGCAGCCTTATTCCCCAGTCCTATCCATGTTCACCCATAAGTAATTCAGTGAGGCTTACACACAATCCAAACCTGGAGTTCAACCAGTGGAATTTAAATCAACATAATTTATGCTGGTTTAAGTCCAAAAAAGGGTGTGTGGCAGGGATGGGACAGGGCAAGGAGAGGCTATTCCAAATCCCTTTCAATCCATCTCATGACCTGGCAAGTCAGCAGAATTTAGCTGGCAAAAAGGGAATTGCAGGTCAAATTCCTCCCAGAGTTTGGAATAGGGTAACTTAAAACCGGTGCAATTTACATGGTTTTCCTATAGTCAGGGTTGCGTAGTACAATGCAAACAGTATTGCAGCCTCAACCGTGCAATCCTATGCAGGGCTGCTCAGGATTACATTCCACCTAGTTCAATGGGTAAGTGGGCACAGGATTGCATCCAACTCTGGGAATTTAAATCTGAAACAGATTGCTGTCAGTGGAATCCACGACCATGAGATGAACCCGGTCCAGTCTCTACCTAAATGCGCTCGGAGGTCGCTCTGAGTGCAAGCGCTTCCTTGGCACCGGGAGTCGGACTGACTGGCAGTACTCGTGCGCTACAGAAGACGAACTCCAAAAAAGAGCCCGAACATAAAAATACACACAGTTTCATTCAAAGTAATGAATGAAAAACAAGCCATTGCACCATCCCCCAAGCAGCAAAGCTGCACCGGGGGACCCCTTACCTTGATGTTACAGAAGACGCTCGCGGAGCAGGTGTTCCCAATCCTGGGCGCTTTGCCGTTTTCCGGCGCCATCCCCATGGTCTGCTCGGCGCGATCTGGAGACTCCTCGGGAGACAAAGGGCGAGTTAGCCCGGAGCCTCAGCAGCCCGTCCCGCGTTGCCCGCGCTCGTGAACAGCCTAGCTCAGGTGCCTGCCTTCTTCGCAACCTCCCCGCGAGCCAGTATGGAAAGCTGCCCGGGCGAAAGAGCGCGGAGCGTGCCGTTTTTATAACTCTGCGGCGCACTCCGAAGCGATGATGAAACTTTCTTTCTCCTCCCTCTTTCCCTCTAGTGCGTAAAAGCAGGCGCTGGGAAATGCGCCACCGGGCACACGGCGCTTCCCGCCCGAAAAGCAGGTGGGAGCTTTTCGCTCTCCGAGCGGACGGGCAAAATTTCCCTCTCGATCCCTCCCAAGAGATCAACCCCGCAGGAAGTCAGACCCTCAGGAGGGAGCGCCGGCAAATCCCTTCCCTCCGAGTTCCTCGGCTCCAAAACCGCGCGCTCCGTGGGGAGACGTGGGGCTGCAGGCTCCGGCTTCTTCTCCGAGGTTTCCGGCTGAACCTGCCGTCGGGGCCTCTTGTGAAAGCGTCGTCGGTGGGGTGGTGGGCGAGGCCGCTCGCAGTCTCTCCGAGCACGGCATGGGCCCTCCACGTGGGCGAGGTCAGGCTTCGACCTACGGTCGGTTTGGCTCCAGCCCTTGGCTTTCCAAAGGCCCCTGGCCGGGGAGTGGCGCCCGTGGCACGGGGCGTTTGCGCAAAAGAATCGATCTCCCCCGGCCGTCTTACGCACGGTCGGCCTCGACGGAGAAGGGCCTCGCCGTGGCCTAGGCTGCTCGCTGCAGCTCGGAGCGAGGCGGACCGCTGTCCCTGCAGACAACATGGTCCAAGCAGGCGAACCTAGCCGGTGGGCGCTTCTTTTCCCCCGTTGCTTGGAAGCCCAGTCGCCCCGCAGTTACCTCAAGAGGCACTGACACGACGGAGGCCTGACCCCGCGAGCAGCCCGGCATGTTCGTCTCCGGGCGGCCAACGGGATTGAACCGACTCGATTAAATATTAACCTCCCCAACGTGGCTGAGGTGGCTGTGGGCTGCCTGATCTGTGCCTACAAGTATAGCAAAATGAAGTGGGGGAACTTTGCTATCTTAAATAAGCCTTGCAAGGAGAAAACTAGCAGATCAGGGAGAGGAGGGGCTGGGACCTTTTCCTTCTTGTATTAGTTTTCTACTGGCAGGGCGTCGTGTGTGTTTGTATTTAGCTAAAAAACGGGGGGGAAGCTTTCAACGACTGTATCCCCCGCCCCTAAGTAACATTTTCCACCTACAAGTTGAGGTCTCTCCTGCCTATTGGGGAGATCTGGGTCAAGAAACCCCAGTTATATTCAGGCTGTTTCTTAGTAGAAAATGGTGACACTTGGGAAACTTATCCAGTGAGCCAGCTGATATGAACCTTCTTATTGTGGGTCCTTTCCTGTTCCATTGTAGTATGGAGTAGTTAAATAGAGACCAACAAAATGACATTCCCATGAGTGCTCCCTTATGAAAGCTCATGCACCACAAAGTAATCTTTAAGGAGTCTTGTAGCTTTGTCTGCTACTCTTCAGTGCTTAATCACAGCTTCTATACATCCATTTATATGGCATTAATTTTTCCATAGCTCAGGCAGCCTGCTGCCCCCTTTCCTCCTGCCCACAGTCTCTTAGTATCTTGGTTTTCTGTCCCTCCATAGCCTCTGTAAGAACTACTTGTTCTCCAAGTTCTTTACCAAGAACTCAGTAAACCCCTGAAGACGGACAGCAAAAGGTGACATTTTCCCCACTCCCATTCCCCTGCCTCTCAAGTCAACCTGTAATGAAACGATCAACCTGCTACTTGCATCAACTACCACCTCATGTCCTACCTCCAGTAATGGGGGACAGTTATTCATCATCTCCATTGCAGCTTTTGGAATAGATCGAGACGTGTCCATCTTCTCTCCCTCTCGAGCAAAAGCTCATCTCATCATCGTTTCACTATACTTGAAACCCATTTTTATCTTGATCACCACCTGCAAGATCTCAGCCTCTTGATGTTCCTATTACGCCATGTCCCTAGAATGAAATATTAGCCACTCAAAGTTAAATGATAACTAGTTCTTAAAATAGGTTCCCACCCACCCCCAGTTCTTGCTTTTTTTAAGGTCTCTGGGTCAAAGAGATTTTTATGGCAGATGGATGAAAACTTGGCCACAAAAAATGCCTTCTTAAGTGAAGCTACAAATGGAGTGCAAGACTCATGGGCAATGGCACATACTAGATGTTCCCCTTGACTTAGCACAAACAATTTCATAAAAGATGCAGTACAAACAGAGAAATCTTTTCCTCAGAACCCCAGCAGAATCTATGGAAGAATAAAGCACACCACTGGGCAGCTTTCCAAAATCACTTGTCATGTGTTTAACTTGCTTGGAATAAGCCCTTTCATTTTTTATCCTTTTTACCCGAAATTCAGCATGAAATAACCTCAAACTTGAGTATCCTACACTGCCAAGTTCCAAATACCATATTTTTCCATGTATAAGACAATGGTTTTTATTATTAAAAAATGTTAAAAATTGGGGGTCGTCTTATACACGGATATTGCAGGGGGGATGGGCGACTGGTGGCAGCCGCAAGCAGGAGATTGTCACTGGTGATTGGGTGGATGATTGTTGGCTGTGGCAAGGCCTGCTGACAATTGGATGCTACTACAGCAATTGGGTGGCGATTGGCGACTGCTGGCGGCAAGCGGGCAGACGATTGGTGGCTTTGGGGAGGCGTGCGATTGGCAGAAGTCAGGCGGGTCAGCATTTGTCAGTAACCCCCCCCCCAAAAAAGCTCAACACCTCTGGGCAATCTCCCATTTTCTTAATTTGGGGTCCCAAAAAATAGGGGTCATCTTATACACAGAAAAATACAGTAGTCCATGGAATCGTTTCCCAACTATAAGCCATGGAACCTGCTGCACCCTTCCAGTTTTTCATAAGTGTGTATGGTTTGGAGCTGTCAACTTTTATGAGCCTGTGAGCACATATGCAAACCAGAGAAACTCATAGTCACCATGCAGACACTACAACCACACACAAATGTGTACACGCACATGGCACGCATGACAACTACATATGTATCAAAACCACACACATGTGCACATTAACTCTCCTTGCCAGAAATTAGTTTGTGGGGCAAAGGGTTTGCTTCCCCCCCCCCCAACACTGGATTTGATAGAGATCTTCCTGGAGACTACAGACTAATTTCTAGGAAGATAAACCTTCACTGAAGAGCACACACAGCAATTAGGCTGGGGGGGGGGAAGCCTGTTGGCGCCTGGCGCCCACAAGGTCCCATCCTGCCCCCCATGCTGAAATTTGGCTTCAGAATTTTTAGTCAATGGAATTATTTTAAGCTTAACCTCAAAACAGGGAGCATTTTTGGCATGCCCTGCCACACTACAATTATGCTGGGGGAGGGGAACCCAATTCAATCCTAATTTCAGCTGGAGGTGGGCACACAGGTACAAAATAATGTCTCCGTGGGTGTTGGCAAACCATGACAGATAGGTCCCATAGATGAAAGCTAACTATTTGAGGCTTGCAAATTGGGAGCAAGGCAAGGATAATATGAAAGAGATTGTACCTAGATGCTTATTTTCCTCTTTACCCCTTTTCATAAATGGCAAAACGTTATTACAAAATGTAAACAACCAAAGGAAACCTATAATAAATATAGTAAATGAAGAACCCAAGCTCAAAATCCCTGGATGTGTCATAGAAAAAAATCCTAGGCCTGTTCTCCCCCTATTCACAAAGAGTTTCCCCAAACAAACCATACAGCCAATTGGGAGTCAGGACAGCAATAATTTCCTACTCAAATTTTCTTATACCTCCTGTACAAACCTCCCCCTCTAAAGAAAACCGACACATTGCCACTTAAATCAGTGACCTGTTGCCCTACCTGCAGTAATGGGAAATAATTATCCTACATCATTTCTGCATCGGCTATTTATGTACTTTTCTCTCTCTCCATCTAACAAAAGCCTGTTGTGTCCTTGGAAAAATTGCATGCATGTTTTATTCTTAAACGCTTTCTTATCTTTGTTCCGTCCTCTGGATCCTCTCTAGTTTATCAGTTCTCCTCAAATTCCAGCAATTAGGGATGAGGAAGATTCACTTTGCATCTAAAGGCAAACCTACCTAATTCACACTTTATGAAACACTAGAGCTGAAACACAGCAGTCTTTCAAAATGTGCACCTCTTTGACAACACTGTCCTCCAGCTAAGCAGTGTGTACAAAAATGCATATACTAGGGTAAAAGTTTGCATGCAAATGCATCTAGTAGTGAAAGTTACATACATAAATGCATTGTATTTGGAAAAATTGTTTTGCAAAAATCTGTGTAAGGGAAAATTGCTCACAAAATGTGTATATGGGCGAAATTTGCAAAAAAAGATCATGAATTTTCATCAGAACTCCCCCCCCCCCATCGCAAATGAGAATCTTGAAAATGTAGAGAACTGAACTTATGCTTGGGAAAATAAGAGACTGAAATCGACACATTCTCTCATCCCCACTGTCTATTTATAATTCCACATGTTATCTTCCAGCTGAACATATAACCCTCCAGTGGAAGCAAATCAGGTCCAAATTATACATTACAAAGCAGGCAGGTCCAGGAGTCTCAGGGTTCCTTTTAAAGTGAAAACCAGCTGGAACATTGGGGGGGGGGTGTATGCAATTGGAAGCAGAGGGTTTGCTGCTTTTCCCACCCAAGCACCACCCCCCATGCGTTTTTACCTCGCACAACAGGAGAAGCAGCTGGAGTACTGCTGTTGTGAGTTTAATCACAAAAAAGTAGTCGGGGAAAAGACTTCAGCAGCCCTCTGCTGCCATTTCAACACTCCCAGCTTCAGCCTTCTATGGCTGCTTTTCATTAAATAATTTGTTTTAAAAGTCAGGATGCTGTTATATGCTTCTGCCATGTAACATCTGGTTTGGTCCACCAGAGTCTTCAAAAGAATAACCCGAGGAAAAATTATTTTAATGATTGTAATCATAGTAAACCGTTAAATACTGGGACTTCTTGGGCATTCCACATAGGCATAGGTTTGTAAGACTGCAATCCTAACCCTGCTTACTTGATTTCAGTGGGACTTACTTCTGAATAGGCATGGTAAGGATTGCAGTCTAGGGGCACTATTTTCCAGTGGGATTCAGTCACATTCTGGCTAATTCAGGTTGCATGGTAAAAGCTGATATGGAGCTCTTGCACCTGATTCCCTAAAACAAACAAAAAACCTGGACTTTGTGAGGAAAGTGTCAGGAAAATACTTTGGAAAGTGTGGGAAAACACTTGTCTAATGCAACATCATTTAACCTCTCCACAAACAGGATTCAAGATGACTTCAGCAGGGTGGATAAGTGGGCCCAAATTAACAAAATGAATTTCAACAGGGACAAATGTCAAGTTCTGCACTTAGGCAGGAAGAACCAGTTGCGCAAATATAAGATGGGGGACACCTGGCTTGCCAGCAGGACATGTGAAAAGGATCTAGGGGGTCTTAGCAGACCACAAGCTTAACACGAGTCAGTGGTGTGATGCATCAGCAAAAATAGCTAAATCCAATTCTAGGCTGCATGAACAGAAATATAGTGGCCAGATTAAGGGAAGTCATAGTACTGCTCTATTCTGCCTCGGTCAGGCCCCACCTGGAGTCTTGTGTCCATTTCTGGACACCATAGTTTAAGGATATTGACAAGCTGGAGTGTGTATAGAGGAGGGCGACTCAGATGATCAAGGGTCTAGAAACCAAGCCTTATGAGGAATGGTTGAGGGAGCTGGGTATATTTAACCTGGAAAAGAGGAGACTGG